AAAGCCTCCCTCCTCCTTCAAGCTTTTCCATGTCTAGAAGTTGAGTCTTTGGTTCCATCTCCTTCTCATCCTTCACCTACTTCGCCTGCAACTCCCGTTTCTCCCCCTCCAATCTCCACCTAGGTGTCAGTGATCAACTTTCTGCCATTCCTGCTTGGTTGCAGTTCTCCCTTCATGGTCAGCCATAGGTTGTAGGAGGACGAATAGAATGATGTGTGTTGAAGCACAGGACCCTGGTTACTCTGAGTTTGTTGAGGTTGATCCCACTGGAAGATATGGCAGGGTAATTGCACTGATAAATGCTTCGTCTTGTTGATTCTTCAGTTAATGTTCTCTGCGGATTCTATGTTGGGCAAAGTGCTCATCCTCTTTCTTTGATTTTTCTGCAGTACAATGACATCCTTGGCAAGGGAGCTTCAAAGACAGTGTATGACCATTTCCAAAACTAAATGTTTGAGGGGCACTCGTCTTCCCCTTAATTCATGGGCTGTTGCTCATCTATGTTTCTTCTTCTTTTTGTTTCATGTAATATGATGCCAGTTATAGGGCTTTTGATGAGTATGAAGGGATTGAGGTTGCTTGGAACCAGGTGAAGCTCTATGATTTCCTGCAGAGCCCTGAGAACCTGGAGAGGCTCTACTGTGAGATCCACCTGCTCAAGACTCTGAAGCACAAGAACATTATGAAGTTCTATACCTCATGGGTGGACACCTCTGAGAGGAACATCAATTTTGTCACTGAGCTGTTCACCTCTGGCACTCTCAGGCAGTAAGTGGATGTGTTCCTTCTTCTCATTCATCTTAGCAAGATGGTGGATATAATAAATCATGGTTTTTTTTTCTCTTTTTTGTGGACTAAAAGTTTTGTTTTAATCATCTTATAATGTGTGGATAGGTATAGGCAAAAGCATAGAAGGGTCAATATCAGGGCAGTAAAGCATTGGTGTAGGCAGATTCTTAGTGCCCTTCTCTATCTCCACAGCCATGACCCCCCTGTCATCCACAGGGACCTCAAGTGTGACAACATCTTTATCAATGGGAATCAAGGAGAGGTCAAGATTGGTGATCTTGGCCTCGCTGCCATACTCCGGAAGTCGCATGCTATCCACTGTGTAGGTATGATCACCAAAGACACCGATTGTTAACCTTAAGGAGCCTTGTGGATATTGCCAACCAAACTTCTTCCTGCTCTACTGCTAAGTTTATCGATATTTGATGTTATGATATCATCCACAGGCACACCAGAGTTCATGGCTCCGGAGGTGTATGAGGAGGAATACAATGAATTAGTGGACATATACTCATTTGGGATGTGCGTGTTGGAAATGGTCACCTTCGAGTACCCGTACAGCGAGTGCACCCATCCTGTGCAGATATACAAGAAAGTTATCTCTGTAAGAAACCTCAACTTTCAAAACTAATTGTGGAACTTGTAATGCACTTCACCGTCTTCTTACAATAATTATGTCAGTGAGGGTAGTTTTTGTTCTACCACTAGGGTACCAAACCTGAAGCATTGTATAGAGTGAAGGACCCCGAGGTCAGGCAATTTGTTGAAAAATGCCTCGCCACAGCATCCAAAAGGCTTTCTGCAAGGGAGCTGCTAAAGGATCCTTTTCTACAAGTTGATGATCTTTGTTCTAGTTTTGATGATGAAGATGTTCGCAGTATGGGTCATATTCTGTGGCAACCTTCACTTGAATATACTGAAAGTAATGGCTCCTTCATTGCCAATGAGTTTTCAGACAGTATCCACCATGAAATGGAATTGGAGAATGATTGGGACTATGATGCCACCGATGTGGAGGTGCGTGGAAATGACTTGTCGAATAGTCACATAGACGAGCAACCTATCAACGTGGACATTACAATCAAGGGAAAGAGAAGAGAAGATGGGAACATCTTTTTGAGGCTGAGGATTTCAGACAAAGATGGTAACTGTGATTTGAGCTTAAGAAATAACTTTATCGAATTGATTCTTTGACGCTGTAAAAAAGAAACCAACACCTTGATTTTTTTTTTCCCTTTTTTGCAGGCTGTGTCCGGAACATATATTTTCTCTTTGACATTGAAGCTGATACTGCATTGAGTGTTGCCACAGAGATGGTGGCTGAGTTAGATATAATTGATTATGATGTGACAAAAATAGCAGATATGATTGATGGAGAGGTAGCTTCACTAGTACCAGAGTGGAAGCCAGGTCCAGGTATAGAAGAAATTCCAGGATTTCCTTCAGCTACCATCTGCCAAAAGTGTGCCTCCACTGTTTCATCATGTGGTTCAATTCTAGACCATCTCTCATTGAAAAGCCTATGCTACGGTAACATGAAATCAGTTCATTGCTGCCACATTGAGTGTGCTGAAATGCATGGCCGATTTGAAGAGATAACATACCAAGTTGAGGGAACTGCACTTTGTGTGGCTGAGGGACCACCTATGTTATCGACAAGTCAATCTGATGAACTTGATTTTAGCTCTCTTGCATCAAGGGTTAATCACTCTAATGGAGATTGTGAAGGATTAGGCCTACAGGAGAAGGATGAAAAGGTTATACAGATGGATGACTACAAAAGAAATGACTCGAGAAAACCTTCAGCCCAACTATGTTCTGAATCTCACCAGCAACAATGTCTTGCCTTACCGGAATTTAGTTGCCAGTTCACTACACCCGATAAACTCGACAATTATGTAAGCGACTGCACACAGGATCTGAGTTGGCTGAAGGCAAGTGACCAGATAGAGCCACAAGCACAGAACCATCAAGAGTCAGGAAGATCCAAAAGAGTATTTCAACCTTCCCCAGACCCTGGCAACAGGGTAAGAAACAAACAAAATGGATTGTTGAGATCCTCAGTTCGAATGCCTTTACAAGCTTCGGATGAAAGAAGGGTGATGAAGTCCTTTCATTTGGGAAAACATAACTCATTCCATATTCGTCAAAGTGACACGGACCAGGGCTCCATCAATAAGATGGCTTCTGCTGATGCAAATTCAAGGTATCGCTGGAATAACTGCTCCGATTTACAATCCCAAAAGGATGGAAATTGTGAGGTGAACTCTACAGAGTGCTCCGAGCTTATGTTCACAGCAAAGAACTTCTATGCTGGGGCTGTCATGTCAAATGCTCTCACCAGGACCAAGTCTCTTCCTGTTGATGCCGTGGATGCTTAATATCTGCAACGTTTTTCTTATCTACACTGGCAGACTGTGAATCACCTCACCCCAATATTTGTCTCAAAATTTTCAGCTGTTCATCTGCCTTGTTGTAGAGGGATAATGAGCTGAACTGAAATGTATCATTTTTCATGTATTCTTTCATGTGTCCATGTACCTATATTTACTTGACGGGGCAGATGAGGATCGTAATTTTTAGGCAGGTATACTGCAATATAATAACTTATGTAACATGGTCAAGAGTTGCCAAAAGGCACGGGAAGCATTCAACTTGATTAGTGAGTTCATTGTTCATTTTCATTTCTGGATTCAGCATGACTACATTGCGTTACCATGATGGCATCGATGAGCTGAGTATCCATTGATCTTTTACAGAATACTGAAGCTGGTGTTGATCTTCTTCGATTGGCACAAAGACTGAGAGGCCAGAGAAGGTTGGTATGCATACAGTTACCCTCACAGGCTCTGTACTTTCCATTCCATGAAAGTTTCAGTTCCAGGCCTGCTAGCTCTTAGTACACAGCTACTTTGGGACAAAGGTGTGCTGTAAAGAGATGAGGAAATGGATGGAAAGTGATAATTTCAAAGGTTAGCAATTGAATGAGATGAAGTCACAAGAACTTTTAGTGGTGGTCTATATAGTGATAAGCATTAACTTTAATTGGGGTGGATAGCAGGGGAGTATGGAATCTGTCATAAATAGAGGGAAAACAAAGAGAACTTCCTCTTGCCTGCTTGTATGCAGTCACAGCATGTGTTCCATAAAAGGCTTCTTTATCAAAAGCAAAGCCAGCTTGTTTGCTGATCGCATGGCATGATGTGTAAGCACACATATAATATTTGTCATCAGAAGGTATCTTTAGTTGATCTGATCTCACCACCTCCTTTAAAATCTGTCCCATGAAAGTGCCAGTTCTAACAGTAAGAAAAGTCTCTGGCTTTTGTTAGTAGTACAACAACCTACCAATGGCATCTGCTATCAACTAAAACTGGGACCTGTTGATGTTATGGAGCTCAAATATCCACAACCTTGTAGTGTTAATGGAGATATGGAGTGAAGGAGGACAACTTCAGTATGAGACTGAGATGTGCATGCTCACATGTATTTTTTTTTTTTCCCCTTTAGTTTGATAGAAAAAACAATGAGTTAGGTCATGTAAGAGGTAGAAAGATGAGATCATGAATCAGAGTGGAGAATTCAATTAATGAAGAACCTTACATTGAGTGGATTTGTTAGGTAGGCTGGAGTTTTAGTTGCCAATGTGGTTGGCTTATACTTTTCATCTTTCCACTCTGTGACTTGGAAAGGTATCAAGTTTATCTAGAAGGGTACTATGCATGTGTCCTCATCAAAGCCTGGAAGAAAGAGACTAAAAGGTGGAGGTGTCTGATTTAGGAAGAGAAAAGCCTTCAGCTTGATAGTGAATTTGCCTCATGCCTATTGACATCATACTGTGTAGGATGAAGACCATACCAGTTGTATGTTGCTCTAGTATTTGTATATTGCTGGCTGTAATTTTCATTTACCCTGATGGATCTATAGATTTGATTTCTATGATGCATTCAACAATGAACTCCTGCACACAGTGGATGAGGAAGACATTGTCAACTGCATTCTGGTTTCTGAAGGTGGATGACTTGGTCAATTGAAGTCTCCATGGTAGGTGATTTAGAATGAGGATAGTCTCTTGAACAACTGATCCCTCTTCATCAGTAGGTCTAAAATCACAATCAAGATAAAGTTGGCATGAAGAATGTGCAGAATCTAGCAAGCTCAAACCTAGTATAAACCTTATCATTTATCCAAAAAGTTGCTACTTCAATTGGATAATACCAGCACCAGTAGGATATTAGCACTTATCAGAAGAGCCCACATCTCCACTCTTACAAGCTGTCATCTCCAATCCTATCTTCTCAAAGGCTACTTACAATGTGAAAATGCATATTCTTTTATAGGGTTTTAGCAGGAATTCAGGATTTGTAATCATCTAAGAATTATCTACATGTATTATGCCCAAAAGTTATATTAGCTTGTGATAAATTTCTGAGCTTCCTGCTAGTCCATAAAATAGCTCAAATATAACGAAGATATCAAAAATATTAGATGAGTGTCTAATCAAAATTAATATATATTAAGTTAAATATCAATTTCATTTAAAAACTTAAGTAGTTAGATGATAGGCTAAACTCAAATATATGTATTACTTACTCTCTTAATATTTATGAGACTATTCTCTTAGTTATCTTTTTAATCTTCTTCTCACACATGAATATCTTCTAGCATTCTCCCTTTATATATAATCTTAATAGTCTTAAAATCCTCATATGCTTAGTATCCAACTATCTACATGCATTATGCCACCAAAAGTTGTATTAGATTGTAACGAGTTTTTGAGCTTAATGCTAATTCATAATCCAAATTAAATATAATAAAGATACTAAAAATATTTAGAATTATCTTTGAGCAATATTAGAATCAGTGTCTAGTCAAAATTAGGATATATTGAGTCAGATATTAATTCAATTAAACAACTTAAGTCAAGACTATTCTTTTAAATATATGGATCATCTAACTTTTTTGATATTTATGAGACTATTCTTTTAATCATTTTTTTTAATCTTTTCCTCATATATGATATCTTCTAACATTCCCCTCTTGTTAATGTGTGGCTCAATTGTCTCACTCTTACTCGTAAGGATAAGGATATGTGGTGCGCATTGTCTATTGCTTGATCAGTGGTATAGCATCATAAGCTTGATTGTAATTATCAAGCTCGACTCAAATATCTTTTTCTCTTTTTTTTTCTTTTTCTCTTTTTCAATGATACCATGTTAGAAATTCATCAATTATGGATGTCTAGTCACAAACCTTGGCTCTAATATCATATTAGAAATTTATCATTATGGGTGTCGAGTAAGGATTAACATATATTAAGTTAGATTTTAATTCAATCAAAAAACTTAAGTTGTTATATTTTGGATTAGACTCAAATATATATCATTGACTCTCTCGATATTTATTAATGTGAAACTATTCTCTTAGTTTTTTTTTTTTTTTTTTTACTTTCTTCTTACAGCTTGACAATGAAGACAACTTAAGAGTGAAAGAACAAGATGAACCAAGACACCATTATAGTTACTAAAGAATGTGACATGAAAATTATGCAGTTAGGTCATTATTTTGGTTAACTAGGTGCTAATCTTAATCATCTAAATGTGCAAAAAGCTGCTACAATGAGTTCACAAATTTATTAATATTCAGCAACATATGGAAGGTAAGGAAAATTGGGGAATTCAACATTTAACAGCAGCTTTGAATAGTTATCAGCAATAAATCACAGTCATACCTGAGATTGGATATCAATACAATCCAAAAATAAATTTCTTGTAACAAATGTCTTTTTTTTAAAATAAAATTCATGCATAGCATGAGATAATGAGCAAAATGTGGTAGCAAGATTGTTGTGGCATCATGTATTTGCCCAGATATCTCAAGTATTCTGTAGTTGATTAAGATCAAATGTGAGTAAAGCATGTTGGCTAAGATTATATAGACACTGTTGATATTAATATGCTAGTATTTTAAGAAATATTTAAGGTAGTTTAGGAAAAAAAAAGAACTATTTGTTAGGGTTCTAAAGTAGTGAGATCATGGAAAATAATGCAAAGGCTATTGTAATTTTAGATTGAATGAGAATAATTGTATGGTTGTGTGCCTCCTTCTCTCCCTCTTAGCAATTAAACCTAACATATTAGCCCCACAAATCTAATATCCTTTGGTCTCAGAGTCAAGATCTTCTTTTGATCATTTTTAAATACTCAAATTATAAGGAAGAAGAAAATTTGTGGAAGATCAATGATTGTAAATGGTAGCAACTCAAATTCCAAAGTACAACAAGTGTTTCAATTTTTAATAGTGAAAACTATGATTTCTAATTTGTGTTGACGAGAACCATGATTCTTTCACTTGATCTATGATATTTGATTGAGAATGATTATGATGGTTCTAATAATACGAAAACCATGACAAGAGATTAAACAGTCAAATTTTAAAGAAAATAATAAAGAGATTCAATGGCTCTTAGAAAGATTCAACAAGGTGTTTCAGTTATAATCTTCCTAAGGATCATGAGAGCTACAAAAGCAAAGGATGCATGAAATCTTTTGCAAAAAGAATTTAAAGAAAATATGAAAGTTAGGATGATCAAACTTCAAACGGTAAGAAGAGAGTTAGAGAACCTGAAATTGAAAGAGAATGAGATATTGATTGACTTCTACTTATATACTTGATCAACCAAATGAAGACTTATGGTGAAAAGATAGTGAAGAGAATTATAGAGAAGATCTTGATCAATATTCTAGAATAGTTTGATCATATTATAGCTGTGATTGAAGAAACAAAAGATTTTACTATGTTATATGTTGAAGAACTTATGAGTTCTTTGATAAGGTATGAACAAAGGTTGATTCAATGTTCATAGAAAGCCATGAAAAATGTATTTCAATCAAAAGTTAATGTTGCTTCCAAGAATGGAGAGGATAAATCAAATAATCAATCACAAAATAAGGGGAAGCAGCCTAGAGATTAAAACCAAGGAAGAAAAAGAGGTAGAAGTTCACCAAGAAGAAGTAGACGAACAAATTATGACTGAAATTTCGAACAAAGAAGGACCACAAAAAAGATTCAAAATATGCAACAAAAATAATCATGAAGAGAATGATTATTATTATTATAGAGAAGGACATAATGTTACAAGTGCAAGAGGTATGGTCACAAGCAAAACAATTGCTGTTTAAAAATAAATGAACAAGAAAAAATTTTTAAAGATGAATTTATTTTAGCATGTCAAAGTATTCAAAAACAAAAGGATGAATAATAGTATGTTGATAGTGCTTGTAGCAATAATATGATAGTGAAAGAATATATTTTTCTTGATATGAACATATTATTTCAATTTAAAGTTAGAATGGACTTGTAGAAGTGAAAAGAAAGGGCACAATTGGTGGTCAAATTCATGATATGCTATTTGTATCAGATTTAAATCAAAACCTGACATTTTAAAGATGACATATGTATTATAAATAATATAAAAAATAAAAAATAAATATTGATATAAGCAAGAATGATGAATAAGAGATTTTCATTTTTTTTCACTTTCCGTTAGATATATAAATGATATTGCTAGAAGAGCAAATATGATAGATGATTGATGGTTGTGGCAGAAGAGGTTTGGTCACTTAAATTTTGATAGTCTCAAGTTTCTATCACAAAGAGGTTTGGTCACTTCAAATTTGATAGTCTCAAGTTTCTATCACAAAGAGGTTTGGTCACAAGTATATGATGAAGGAAGCTCTGTGGAGATGACATGCCTTTTTATCCTCAGCAGGATTTATGTGAGAGGTTGTGTGTCACAATCACCGAATGATGAGCAGATGGATGCAGCAATCTATTCCATCTTCCAGAAGGTATTTGTCGACTTCAGCCATTGGAATCTGGGGATAAAACACAAGAACACTCAAATCGATCCCATCTCATACCAAGATGGGATCTGCTACTTGAATTATCCTAGCACCGACATCTTTGTGGCTGTGGGGACACTCAGGTCATCTGCATTTCCAAAAACGAAAGGCTGTGGGCCGGAGAACATTTGATGAACGTCATCGACACTGCAATTTCTGAAAACCCTTCTGGACTAGTGTGAGTAATGTTGTTGGTGTTGATTGAGTTGATCTCATCGACATCAATCCCTTATTCACGAAAGGGAACCCCAATGTACGTTACCACTGCTGTAATGCAGATTTACAGATCATCTTGGTGCACCATCTCCATGAGACCACCTGCGTCTTAAAGTTGCAGACACTCGAGACCCACAGAGTGCAATTAAAATCCTGGAACGAAGAACGTTGTTCTTGCGTGCACAATAAGTTTTGACTGCATTTGGTTAACATTACAAGCTTGAAATGCAGATAAGAGTGAACTAATCAGCTAAGCTAAGTATATTACTGATTGCCGATGAATCATCTTATCTGGAATCACTGTATCCGGTTGTATATGCATTGATCAGTGTAGTTATATTCTTGGGGAATCTTATGATGTGCCAAGGCAAGTTTCATTCACCAGTAGCATGGTTGACACCTACAAATGACATGCTCAGATTCACTTGTAACGCACTACTGAAACTAAAAGGGAAACGTAAAAGAAACGTTAGCCTTTAGGAATTGCCGAAATGTGATAAGATCATCTTTCTCAGCTCCTCGCAAAGGACCTTTTTTCCTATGCTACCATCCATGGCACACAAAAGAGAGAGCAACATCATATGGGTGGGGGCTTGTTGGTGCCAGGTTTCATATGCTAAAAGAATCATCTTTTTTTCTTTCAATCATTGGTACCAAGTGAAAGCGTATCTTGAAATAAAATGAAAGAGCTCAAAGATGAGATTCTTTTGGTTGCTCCACAGAAAGTGAGAATAATGGCGAGTGGCTCAATCATATAAGATGATACTGCTTACCTACTGAATAATTTTGTCCAATAATGTCAGGCAAATGACGCACTCACTCAACCTGTAATTAAGCTTTCGATTAAGGAGCCTTTGGCATGCTTTGTTGTTTCAGCTGGGTGACAGTGTCAAGGAATTAAATTGAATGCGAGTGCAATCTCTGTAGCATTGTGATACTTCTTCGCTAGCATCTGATGGTTAATGCGTCGTATCACACACACCAAACTGCAGAGGAGTAAGGTCTCATATTGCATGGCATCACAGCTTTATCTCAAGTACATCGTGCTATCGTCAACCTGTGTTTGCGGCAGCTTATGTTTGAAGACAATAGTCACGAAGAAGGTAGCATCCTCGTCAATGACCATCGCAGCTTTGTCCGGTGATTCATTCATTTAGTTCATCATCACCCTTCAGAGAACACGCATCTGTAACACAGAAAATAAGATCATGGAGACATGACGTTGGGTAAAAGGACCTGACTCAGTAATGGACACACAAACATCCCATCTCCATAGCAAGCAGCTCATCAGTTCTACTCTGCACGATTCAATCTCTCTCTCTCTCTCTCTCTCCCCCATAGTGTGGTCGCAGGCGACCTCAATAGTCGTGCGCGTCGGACCGCGCACAGCCATGCAGAATCTGATGTGCTGCACGCACAAACATACCGTCTCCGTATCGAGCTGCCCATCACCAACTCTCCGTTCGATGTCTGGTCGTAGGCGGCCTCAAAATTCGTGCGTCTCAGATTCCACACAACACTGCAGTTCGTAAAGAAGGGAGCCGCCCATCACTCCGCATCAGCATCGTCTGCCTCGGCTGAATTTAAATCTCCTTGGGGGGGTCGGGGGTATGGAGATGGGTGAGAGGTGGGATACGAACACGAGACGGCGTCGGAGTTATGGCGAGGAGGGGAGGCAGCCATCGTGGAAAAGAGTAAAGAAATGTTTGGTGGAAGGGCAAAAGGCAAGCACAAAGAGAGGAGTGAGAAAGTCACTTCTCCCCCACCACCGGGAAGAAGAAGAAGACGACAGCGAACGATATATGAACGCAGTCGCCTCTTTTATGGTTGCCAATGAGCAGTACAAACAGGAGAGAGAGAGAGAGAGAGCCGACGCATGCGCCTCTTTTCTGGCTATCAGCGCCTGCTGCACTTCACGTCGTGTATAGCTCCGACTCATCACCTAATTTCTTCCCATTTTGCCCACCCCAACAGATAGATTCAGCAGTTGTCAGTAGCAGACGACAGAGTGGGGAGAGAGAGAGAGAGAGAGAGAGAGAGATTCGGGCGCTTTTTGAAGAGCAATGGTAGAAGGGGAAGGAGCAGAGTGGTGGTGAGAGCGGAAGAAGGAGAAAGAGGAACAGGAACTAGCTTGATTCAAGAGAAAGAGATAGAGGGTGGAAGGTAGGGAGCAAGAGGAGGAGGAAGATGGCGGCTCACGGTTGCGCGAGGCAGGGAATGATGGTGTGGATTCTGGCGCTGGCCACCTTCTTATCGTGCGCCGTGGCCGTGGCCGGGACCGGGCGGTTGGAAGCGAAGCAAAGGCTGGAGGTGCAGCGGCACCTCAGGAGGCTCAACAAGCAAGCCGTCAAATCCATCGAGGTGGCTCCGTTCTCTGTTTCTCTCATGCCTTCTTCTTATTCTTTCTTTACATTAATATTTTTTCCTATGTAATATTAATGCTAAAGGATTACTTTTCCTCAAACCATCGACATTAAATGCAAATTAACTAAATGTTCTTCATGTGCATGATAGATTTTTAGTCCTTGTTTCGCTTTCTTAGCGTTGTTGCATGTTACTAGTGTTTTCTCCTCTGATTTGAGCTAAATAATACAGGCTTTTCCTTGGTATTTTCTACACAATTTGCTAGCTCTTCTCGTTGAAACGATCCTATTTCCATATGAACACTAGAATAATTCATTGACGGCGCTCGAGTTTCTTTCCATGCGTGTATTCAGGAGAACTGAGATTAATGTTTGGATCCCCAAAACAATGTGCAGAGCCCAGATGGAGATATCATAGACTGTGTGCACCTCTCTCTCCAGCCAGCCTTCGATCACCCTTTCCTCAAGAACCACACCATCCAGGTTTCTTCCTCTCTTCTTGTTCCTCTCTCTCGCTCTCTCAACTGATACTTGATGAAGCTCAATTCATCAGATGAGACCAGCTTTCCACCCGGAAGGCGGCCTACTGTTCGATGAGAGAGAGGTGGCGTCAAAGAAGAGAACTCCCTCCATAGCTCAGCTGTGGCATCAGAAAGGGAGGTGCCCCGAGAACACCATCCCCATTAGGAGGACAAAGAGGGATGATGTGCTGAGGGCCAGCTCAGTCAAAAGATACGGGAGGAAGAAGCACAGGAGCATCCCAAATCCAATGTCTGTCGACCCTGACCTTCTCAATGAGAATGGCCATCAGGTACGGCGAGAGGAACACGGAGGCGAAGTGCTTCCTGGCTTTCATGCTCCCTTTCTCATCTGCTCCTTTTTCTGGGTCTTCTTCGAGCAGCATGCGATTGCTTATGTTGAGGGGGATACCTACTACGGAGCCAAGGCTTCCATGAACGTGTGGGAGCCAAAGATTCAGCAGCCCAACGAGTTCAGTCTGTCTCAGCTCTGGATTCTGGGGGGCTCCTTTGGGGCGGACCTCAATAGCATTGAAGCCGGTTGGCAAGTATGCATCTCTTGTACTTGGGATTAAACATGTTTGATCAAAAACATTGTACACACACATTATTTTTCTGTTGGTATGCATGCATGCAATCAATCAGGTGAGCCCAGATCTGTATGGAGACAATAACACAAGACTCTTTACTTACTGGACTGTAAGTTACCATCTTCTTCTTTGTAGTTTTTTTTTTCTGTTGATTTAACTTTTAAATCTAGAAATCTTCTGCTTTTAAATATAGTCCAACTATATCTACATGATGATATATATATATTTTGTTCTTGTGCATAATTGGATGTCTACTAATATGTCAAACTTCAGAGTGATTCTTATGAAGCAACAGGATGCTACAACTTACTCTGCTCTGGATTCATCCAAGTCAACAGTGAGATTGCAATGGGTGCCACAATCTATCCCATCTCCAAATATGGTGGCTCCCAATATGACATCAGTATACTTGTATGGAAGGTGGAGACAAAACTCATGCAGTTGCTGCAACTACGTGAACTAAAAACTAGCAGTCCCATCATTTTCTTTTGCTTTTCAGCTCATGTGTTCGATTAGTGATGGTGAGGATGTTATCGTCTGAGCAGGATCCCAAGGAAGGGCATTGGTGGATGCAGTTTGGGGATGGCTACGTGCTAGGTTACTGGCCTTCCTTCCTCTTCTCCTACCTAGAAGACAGTGCCACCATGATAGAGTGGGGAGGAGAAGTCGTGAACTCGGAACCGGATGGTGAGCACACCTCCACCGCAATGGGCAGTGGCCACTTCCCTGGAGAAGGATTTGGCAAGGCCAGCTACTTCAGGAACGTCCAGATAGTTGATGGATCCAACAACCTGAGGCCACCCTCGGAGTTTGGCACCTTCACCGAGCAATCCAGCTGCTATGATGTGCAGACTGGCGATGGTGGTCGATGGGGGCACTACTTCTACTATGGAGGTCCTGGTAGAAACTCTAATTGTCCATAGATTATTCGAATTGAAGTCCCCCATTCTGCGGCTTACCATCAGTAACCCCTTTCTTCTTTGATATCGATATCAGTATTGGTTTTAGCTCCCTCTGTTGCTTTGTCCCTCTCCCCATGGAAGTGTCTGGAGAGAAGATTATTGAGAGAAGCAAGCTTGTGGTGGTCTTCTTCTATCCATTTGTTATCTTCTTTGTAATTATCTCCTCCGAGTCCTTTGTTTCAGTACTGTGTTGATAGTGAATGAGACCTTCCTGTGTTTGCTTGGTTAAAGGAGGACCACATTAGATTCTTGCTATTGGCAGCATGCAGCATGGGGCCTGATCATAACTCTTGTGTTTTGATTTGAAGTTGGAAAGGGTACAGCCTTTTTTGAGAGGTAATGTGGTGGTGAATCCTTGGAGAGACACCATGGAATGAAGAGCTTGGGAACCTTGGAAAGATGTTACTGCAACACTAATGGTTTCCTGCAGCTCCTTTGCTTCTTCACCTTTCAGACTGATGGTAGCTCTGTTATGTCCAATGGTTCATGCATTAGCTGAAAACAGCTACTGAACTCTCATCTCTACAGCAGAGAGATTGCTGAGCTGTTTGCCATGTGAAATCTTATGCCTTAAGATTTAGAATGAAATCTTATGTTCCTTTATCTACAGAGGAATAACATGAATCACAGACAAGCAATTGATCAGAAAGAAAAAAAGAAGAAAAATTGATAGCAGAAACAATGCTTTTGATGTATGTACTTCTTTAAGTCATTCAAAACAGACAAGACTGGAAGAAAGTACAAGATTAATCTCCACTACAATTTCCACCATGTTGATCACTCATCACTCACCATGTTACAAATTAATGATCTGGCTCATCATTTCCCTTGACACTTCTCATGATGTGAATTGATGAGAGAACATAAGCTGGCTCACCTTGCAAGGATTTATACATGTCATAAAACTGTCTGAACCATAAGGCATACAAATTATTGTCAAACTGTCAAAAGATCCAAATAACTATTGAAAGAGAAAAAGAAGTAATGCCATGCACAACCTGATTAGGTCAATTGAAGTCAGAACAGAAGTAAACAAGAAGCCAAAGTTTGATACAAAAGCAGTACCTAAACTTTCTTTGGCTTATTCTCAACTTAGTGCAGCTTTAGATAACAAAAAACACTTACTGCATCTCAGAATCAAAAGTGGCTGGTATGGAGGTTGATCCTAGCACAGTCATCGGCTTGATACAAACCCAGATTACTGAAACTGATAATTAAATTGGCTGGTGAGCTCTGCAGTAAGCTTGTGTTCTATGAATCTGCTGCAGTGTTGAATAAAGGACAGATAAATCAACTGGATCTGACAGACTGTTCTATGCTGCTATAAAAAAAGGGCAGTGGCATCAAACTTTGGAAGTAAATATAGGCCTTCTGAAAATGTTCCACAAAGCAAATACAATGATTAGACCCAACAGATTCTAACTTTGTGAGGACTTAATTTTGATGAATTCACCATTCTGATGTCTTCAGCAAGTGTCATAGTCTTACTTGAATGAAGTTTCTTGTTGGAGTTCTACCAAAAGCTGACTGACTTCTAGAGTGATCATTTGTGAACCACCTTCTGTGGGCTGCATCAAAACAGAGGAGCTATTGCAATTATGGATTTGAGATTTGCTTGCAAGCATTGCTTATTGGTGATGATGTCTCCATTGCTTGTGTATATTGTACAGCTACAACAAACATATGGAGATATGAATTGAGTTGAGTTGGATTGAGTTGCCCTACACCTTAATGCAAGCCAAAACTTGAAATGGTATAGGCCAAACTAGTCAACTGAGGTAAGAAGAAATGGCTATGGTTTGTTTTCAGAATATTCAGACAATAATGGACATTTGTTTTCATCATTGAAGATACCTAAAGATCTGGAAATATAAGAATGTTATGATTGCACTAGGAAGGCTGTGATGAAAAGAAATAAAAAAACAAGTAATCTAATAGAATTACACCATTAAAATTATTATCGAGAGTGATCATGCATCCCAAAATTCATCCAGAAGAAATGTGACCAGAAACCGAGTTCCATTGACAAAGTCTTCCTCCAGCTTCTGATGGAATTCTTTGAAGACAGTGAAGCAGCTAAAGAAGAAAGAAGAACAAACAATCAAAGATCGGTGGTTGCTCTTGACAGATTGGGCACAGCTAAAGTTTGGATCATGCAATTGTCATTCCAGCTAGATTTTGGCACCAACCTATGGACAACCCATCTTCCTCGAACAAAGAAAGAAGGAAGAGAACACAAACAAGGAAATCTCTTCCGACAGCGTGTATGTTAAGACGTTCCAACTAACAAAACACATGGAGGAGGAGGAGGAGGAGGAAGAAGACACAAGCGAAAACAGCCTGTCATGTCCCAGACCCAAGCTTGGTAGTCTCCTTACAAAAACCCTCCTCTCCCTCCCCCTCCTTCCACGGCCCGAACTGCATTGCCTCCTCTCTACATCTCCTCCCTCCATTCCTCTGTGCTCGGTAGTTGTGCCTTAAAGTGCTACTAGCAATGGAGGCAGCTCTCAAGCTCAAGTTGTTCGCCATGGCCATGATGGCCGTCGTGATGGCCGCGTCCATGGTGCAGAAGGCCGCGGCGGCGCAGGCACCCGCCCCCAGCCCCACCTCCGGCACCCCCACGTCGTCCACCGCTGCCGCGGCCCTGGCGTCGGTGGCCGCCCTGGCCTTCGGTTATCTCCTCTGCTGAGCGACGTGTTCATCACCTTCCCTGCCGTGACTCATCACGTTCGGTCTTCCTTCTTTTGCATGGTGGAGGGGGAGAGTGTAGTGTATGCATGATGACCGTACGTGGGTGGTGAACGCTGTATCAGTTTCCATGGTGTTTATTACAATGTGATTCATTCTTTCTATCACAATTGGAGCAACAAAGCATAAGCAAATTTTATGTACTTTGAGAATTTTAGAGCTGAAGAAACTCAAAAGGAAATGTTCTTTTGTAAGCCTAGAAATAATTAATTTCTTCAAGAAACCTGAAGATAATTAATTTCAAAGTATAAGCAAATTTTATGTACTTTGAGAATTTTAGAGCTGAAGAAACACAAAAAGAATTTTTCTTTTGTAAGCCTAGAAATAATTAATGTCTTCTTATGGCAGCAATGACTCGGATGAGATGGGAGTCCAACATGAGAATTCCCAATCGTCAAAAGATAAGACTGGCTTACCACACAGCAGTCCTTCTACACATTGCTTTCACAAGAGTCCAAAGCGTGGAAGCTGGAAAGTGTCCTGCCGGTGGCTGTCCATAGTTCACATGGGCGCTCAATTATGGCATGATCCCACCACCACTGCGGCACACGAGCATCTCAATTATTTATAGCGTCCATATTCTGAGTCAAAAAGATCCATCTTCAGTAACAAATCAAACACAATTAAAAGGGCATCCCCTCTCTCTCTCTCTCTTGGCGTTGTTAAAATTATGAAGCCCATGATGGTCCATAAACATATGGACAGCTTTGGGTACTGCACTTTACCTCTTTGATTTCTACAGAGGCAGCCTGCAATGTTATCCCTGTTCTGCAACAACTGCTGACAAAAATGACGGGGCCTTCTTGTTCTTTTGCCTGACAAAGAATAATAGCCCACAGGAAAAATGATACTCTTTTTAAGGAAGATCCATTTCAATCCACAATGTGGCTGTCAATGCTAGTTGCTTAATCATTAATCTTTAACAGTAAGAAGTGATCTTACTGTTATAAATCTGAGAAAATCTAAAAACTTTATTTCTACAAGAATAAACACTAGTTATCATGCTATACATGTTTGATGAGAAAAGGAAAACAGATCAAGTCCAACACTAATCAGAACCCAAATAGGATCTTGGTAAACTTAATCACCCAACCCTTTCATGTAAAAAAAAAACACAAAACAAGTATATAAAAGAAAGCCTATGATCCTAAAGATCAGTGAAACTTTAGAATGATTCCAGAGCATGTGCACTGGGTATTCAATCGCCAATGAAGGGGTTGTGTTGGTGATGAGGGACCAGGAACATGTCACTCTGAGAATACCGCAAAACATCTCCCCAAAAGGACACAATAACGTGAAGACAGATAATAGGAGAAAGATAGGCCACAAGGCAAATCAGTGTACCTTTGTGCACAACCTTACAATGCCTTGGTGCCCCGTCTCCATCCCATCAGACCAATCTGTTCAAGTATCAACATTAGAAACCACATCAAAAATCCATTAGCTTAACTGGTAAAGAATGATATCGTAATTTTTACCACTAAAGTTTTACCCAGTGAAGCAACAGCACAAAGAAAGAAAGATGCATGTTTTAAGTAAACAATCTCGTAGTTGCCATAGCTAAATTGCTTGCCTAGAACAGAGCTGGTTCACTTACCTGTGTTTCCAACAAACACGTTCCCCAAGCAGATGCACAAAATATCACTGGAGTTGAAGCCAACCTGCAACATAACTATTCAAAGATGTTCCAGGAAGATTTTGAAGACAAGAAAAATCAGCTTGAAGTGAAGGCTATAAAGCTACTGTTAGCTCATAGTTAAACAGAACTATTCAGACATGAAAAGGGTTTACAGAAGGAAAGATAACATTGAACAACAACTATGGACTCTGCATTTTCCTAAAAATGCAGCCACAGTAAATAATATACAAAAAGATTTCGTATTCAAAAATTTACATGTAATTTGCTTCCCATCTGCCTAACGTTAAGAGAAAGAAAAGTTACACGGCTAGAGGAAAACAAACTACGTTGCTCTATGAAAGTATGGTGAACATTCAATCCACCAAAGGCTTTCCTTCTTTAACCACAATGATCAAAAGAGAAGATTACGAGTCGACGAGGGCCAGTCTCGAGGAAGATGACTCGCTCAGTGAGACAGAAGCAAGCGAAGATGCCCAAGCCCGGGCATTATTTGCCCCTTTCTGAAAGTTCCTCGTCTTATTGCAGAGCCTAAGGTTGCTCCAGAGCCTTTTAACATCAATTACATGCAGCGCTTGCTCCAGTAGTTGACTTGATTCACAAAGAACCCTTGAGTTCAGAGGCCAGGCATGTGAGACCCAAAAAGCTTTGATGCGGGAGTAGATCACAGGAAAGAAGCACATAATTATCTTCAGACAGATGAAAAATATGCTGAATGTTAAGTAAGGTTCATGTGATATTAACTCCCTTGCAGACTCAACATGAGGTACATGGGACCTCACACGTTCTGAACTGAGCTGTTCAATCTCCAGATATATGACTGGATTCAAACCTGTATAAGAATAGCAGAAGATAAGTATGCAACAAAATAAAGAAACTAGAAAAGAGTTACAGGTATAATTAACATTTCATATTTTTCCACCTTCTAGTTCCTAGTGTCTCAGCCATGCAATTGTAAATATGTAGTAAAGTGATAAGATCAAGAATAACAAAGGCCTCAATGGATAAATCAAGTCAAAAAGAAGGCACTTCATCTGCTCTTTTACAGCCAAATGTACTATATGATCAAAAGTAAGTACTTTTTTCACAAGAGGGCAGACCTAGATCTATAACCAAGAAAATGGAAGTCTGAGAAATTTCATAAGGATTCGCTTCGCATATGCATCAGATATTTTGGCTGATAAATGGACATTAGATTCCACTACTCAAAACAAGTAGAACAGTTTGAAGAAAACAAATGCAGACAAAGAAATGTACCTGTATTTTTCTTGTAGAATTGGACCAGGGAAGTCAAATCCCTTGAGCCATGATATTGAACCCTTGTTGTCCCATTGATCAGCATTACAGCTGGAAAGCTGTGAATACCATTTCTTGAGAGGACACTGGATAGCATGTGAAAATTTATCAAATGAAATAAAAATGTCCATAAAGCATGGATGCATATCTTAGTAAGGCAAATGAACCTGTATAATTTGGTACTGCATACCTTGGCATGACTGATGATTCTTCAACTAATAAATGTTTTATTTGAGGAAACATGGAACTAAGAGCATCAAACATAGGTCGAGTATTGGATGAGAACGGGCACCACGATGCATAGAAAAGGATAGAGTAATAAGCACTTTGCTTGCCAGATAGCTCTCTCTCAAATGTCTCTCCACTCACCTTCAAAATGAAAAAGAAAAAAACAGATTTATCTGCAGTCCGTAATTCACAGACAAATTGAAAGAAGTGGTTAGCAATTTCAGTAACAAACACAAACAATCCATCGCAATTGTCGAAGCAGCATCAAAGGATTGCCTTGCAAAATCTATGCAAGAATCACGGATCAATTGCCAGCTCTAGTTGCTAAGAAATTACAGGGTCGACTGAATGGATTGGAGAATTTGTTTGAGACAACTGAGAAATATTTTTCCATCATTTTTCACTTTCCTTTTCTTCTTGATCCTTTCCTCCATGCACGTCCTCTTTACTTTTATACAGCTGTGCAACCCCACTATAATTTCAGTATAATATGTCCCATATGATATCTAAAACAGGCCATTGTTACACAAGATTAGATTAGTAGTCATAAGTAGTTGAGAATTTTTTTTTTCCAAAGATCAGGACTAGTCTGATTAGTCAACAACAATGATGCCAGTTACATGCATCTTGTCCTCCGCCATCAAGCTCCGTTGAGTATTGAGAGCATATCACTATCTAATTAAAAACCACCAATATTCTTCTATCATTTCTAATGTTACTCTTAGATCTTCTTTTCACTAACCATAATTGGCTTCTCTCATTTAAACCGATGCATCAACAGTTTTCCCTCATTTATACTCTAATCAAAACTATCTTAATTGTTCATGAGCATGTTTGATCTTACAATTATCTAATAATTTTTTTCCTTCATTCTAAAGGGTACATGACATAACAATCTTTCCTATCATATGTGAACACAAATTTATCAAAGAGGAGTAAAAGAAATTAGAAGGTAAGTGTATATATTCAGATAGGGAAAAAAGAAATTAGAAGGGAAGTGTATATATTCAGATAGGGAAAGGACAATAGAGCACAATAAGAAAATTGTGAGCAACACCTACTTTGTACAGACATACAATATTTTATTCACTTCTTCAATTTAGCTGCCATCAGTGGGGCTCCTGATCATATAGAATAGCAAGTTATAATAAAAATGACCTTGTTAATCCCTTCAAGAAGTTAGCCTGGAAACCAAATGCTCCTAAACTAATAGCTGATCTTCTGGCTTCAGGAAGTGCATACTAGAAGTTAAATAATAAGCATACCTAGTTAAAACTCACAGAAAGTGGCATTATGTGGTAGAAAATGGCTGACACTCTGATTCTGTCAAGTGGACATCATTCAGCTTAAGAATGAAAAATATAATGCCCAATCAAAGGCAAAATAACAAAATTTACACGCAGATACCATGAGTTATCTTTTACAACTTACACCATCAAAACTGACAAATGCATCTCGGCTTGTTCTCTAGCAAGAGAAGAAACCATGAGCCTTGCATATTCTTTAACATCCAATTTTGATAGAAAGATCAAGTAAAACTAGCATCCAATAGAACTCTTGAGGAGGAGGGGGAAAAATCCTGGCTTTTTGAGTAATATTAGGAATCCATCTGTATTGCATGTATAGGACTCTAAAACAGTCGGCAACCAACTTTGTAAAAATAACTCCTAGTTCTACCATCCCTTTATCTCCCTCAGTCTCTGCTTCTTGAATCAGCTAGATTATGCACCAATTCCTTTTTTTTTAATTAAAAAAATTAAAGCAGCCTATTCAAACAAACGAAAGAATACGCTCCAAAAATTCAAACTGAGCATAATCTAAAGCTTCAGATATCATAAAAGTTTGGTTTTTCATGCTTCATGTACGGCATATTTCATTAAATTGAAAAAAGAAACAAAACAATCAACCACATAATTACAAAGCAACTACAAATGCATCAATCAAAACCAAATAACTACCATATTTCCATATGACAACACACGGGAACCCAAAAATGTCAAAACATCATATCAATAAACAATCATGAGGGCTTTCGATCTTGCCACGGACTTAAAACATTCCACGAAAAATCAAAACCCAAAGAATCTCATAACCCGACGCAAACCCCAAACCAACAGAAGCGTACAAGAAGAAAGCTCACACCGTTCGATTAATACAACGATCATACCAAGGGCAGAAGAAAAAGAAGCAATTACACGATTTCATGGCAAAGAAGCGTACCTCCTGAGGCGAAGACAGCTCGATCCAAAGAGGGCATTGAGATTCGATGCCGTCGAGGAAGGCCAGGTCCGAACGGGGGCAGAGAGGCGGCGCCGCGGCGGCGCGGTTACGAGGAAAGGTGAGGGCACAGAGGAAGAAGAAGAGGAGGAAAGCGAGGAGGGGTCGAGCGGATCCGGCCATGGACAAAGAGAGGAAGAAGGCAATCGAAAGGGCGAATTCGAGGTCGAGAAAAGGGCAAACTTTTCTACGCTTTCAACTCGGTCTATTCCTCATATACGACATACGATCGGATGCGGGTCGGATCCAAACTGAATCCGATAAGAATAATTCCCCGTCCTTTTTCACCTTGGCTCTATCAGGTCTTCGAGCCCACAGAACTCCATTTCTTCTTCACCGCCTAAGATTGAAACACCAATGCATGATGTCAAAAAACAATACTTAAACATGTTGTTGACAGAGTAAACAAGTAATTGGTGATTTTGGTACAACAAGTCAATGATATAACAATAACTTGTTACAAATTCAAGCAATCACAGACATAAAAGTTAATATGTAATGGAGAAATCCACTATTACTTACAGCAATGTGACACCAGTGAAGGCAGCTCACTGATCAACTTGAACAGGTACCTTGATTGGATTAGCTATCAGAGACCAGCATTTAGATAGCCAACTTGGGTACGTGACATTTTCGCACGGATCCTATCCATCACTTAAGATGGACTACTGCTCATCAGAAACAAATTGAAACATTAGCTCAACCTTCTTTTTCTTGGGCACTGAAGTGGCTGAACTATCATTTTCCTGAAAGTATATTTCCACATCACAATAATGAGATCACATAATTAGTTTTGTGAGGAACCTTCATGAATGAATAATCAAAATTAAGCTGTGCAAGATTTAAATCCTAAAATTTTGTGGAAATAACACATTGTAATACCAGTATAGCATGCTAAAATGCATCGAAATCGACTTTCCAGAGCAAGAAAGAAGGACAGCATCCATAAAATTTGCATTTCAAACAAAGGACAGCTTTTGAGATGTTGGCATTTGTTCTGTGCATTTTCTGACGTGAACTTGGTTATCTGACCATGAAGTGGGTGATTTGCCATCAGCCATCTGCATTTGCCCCAGTAGAAAGGTTGAGCTACCTCAACCTGCTGCTTGCACTTTCAGCTGCTTCACCTTGTCTTCTTTTCTCTTTTTATTTTGTGATGACATCCTCTGGAATTTTTGCATAGTTTATTAGAGCTCAGGAAAAGAGATAAGTGTGTTTTTTATACAATAAGTGCTTGCTTTGACTAAAATAGCATTGTTCATTTCCTTTCTGCAGACAACATAAAGTGGCAGCTTAGCTGGTACCTCTAGCTTTCGAATATTAGATGGTTAGAACTATTAGGAATTCCCTAAATTTGACCACCATGGCATATCATATGAATATATTAATGTGTTGAAAGTTAAAAACAAAACAAAGTGAGGATCACTGTTGATGTAAAGGCAGCAAGAAAAACCATATGAATTAGCTACGTTAAGGACAACAAAAGCTTCAGGGCATGGTAAATGCATAAAAAGGCAAGACAAATAGAGTGGAGAAAAAGAAAAGGATCAGAATTCAGATCTAAAAGATTTGGCTGATTTTCATATCTCATATTTTGTAATTTTGAGGTACCAAAGGTTGATAAGATCAGAAAATATATATCTCGTAGCTTCGGTGACCCAACCCAACCTATTATCCCAGTTGTTTGGATAAAAGGATCTTAGCTACATGGCCCAAGAAAGCTTAGGCCCGAGTTTTTATAAGAAAGTCTGTCAAACCTTATATCACAACAAAATCCATTATCCACTTCCAACAGAGACTCATCATGACATATATAGGCCTTAGATATGTGAATATCAAAAAAGAAAAAACCTCATAGTGCTTTTAGGACGTTATATAAAAACTACTACATGTAAAAGTGCATGAGAGATAGTGAATTGATTTTACTGACTACAGATTTGACAAGGTCTAAGTTATGGCAAATAATGTATAAACAAAGGAGACTACCTTATAACTAGGTATGAAAATAAAAATGTCCAATTGTATAAACTGAAATACACAGAAGATGAGGACTACTAGGTGGTGGTGCCTGTTAAACATGAAAAAACAGATGGGGAGTAACTAACATTGGTACTAGCTTTAAAAAAGATCATCAATTACATAAGTCATAAGCAATATCATTGTATAGGGCAGCACATAGGATAAAGGAAAGGAACAAATAAAGTCACAAGGGTCAGCACTGGGCTCTCACCAGTCTGCAATAACTACAAATGAGTTTACTAAGCATATTCAAGATCTGCAGGCATAAGTAAAGGTCTATACCTTACATATCCATCTCTTAAACTAACGAAAACATCATTATCTGGGTAAAAAAGTTCATGATTGTAAATTAAATGAGACTAATCAAGTATGGAGTTGCAACTTCACCAAAAATAAGCAAGAAAAACGAACAAACAGCCCAACTGCATCTAAACAAAATAATTTAACAGAAGGGTCACTCGTAGAAAACTTTGACTAGATATTTTAGCATGATATCTAGAAACGAAAGTGCTCTGTCAATTCTTTAGGAAATGGAATGTTGGCTGTTAGGTGAGGTGTCTAGTAAAATATCTGTAGCAGAAAGATGTTGAGAAGTGGAACAGATATCTGGCATTACTAGGAATAATACGATAACATTGCAATTATAATGTCTCAAATAGTAAGGAGAAGATGGAGTAAAATGTTTAAGGTGGTCAAGGTAGTGAAAGAGTAAAGACTTAATTAAGGTGGCAATCAAAGAAAGACATGATCAATGGTCAAGAACAGGTTTCAGATCTTATTAATTAAGAATATGGTTCTAATAGAAGTAATGTGCAAATTATGGATGTCGCAGATGCAGCCTTGAGGGTTACACTAATCTGAATCTAATTCAAATAAAGAAAAACAATTAAATTTTCCAATATTCTCATTTGAAACTTAAGAAGGTACAACTTGTTAATCCAGTAAACCTGCCACAAAATCTTACTGATGTATTCGTACTAGTGACTTACCTTGACATTGTTCCAAGGAAGACAATTTACACTGCAATTTCCTAGGATTTCACTGGGGTGTAACTATTATGACATTAAATCAATAACAAAGAAGGATTTCTACAAATACTTGTAAAGGCAAGACAGAATAAGCTACTTCTTTGGAGTCATTGGTCATCAGGAATTTCATGAAATAAGTTAATTCCTAATTACATTTAAGACTCAACTTTGTAAGTGTCAAGTCTCAACCAATGTAATTCCAAATGACCAGTCTCCTAACGTTAGTAATGTCTACAGCAAGAAATCTCATTAATAAACCAACAGATGTTGTCTCCTCGAATTGGAAATGATCGAATAAAATTTTCGACATACCAACAAAGACATGTTGAATAAACCATGGATTGAGCTCAGAGGATGTCAAAATTCAAATCGACAAGCACTTCAAATTCATGGGTATTACAAATGACAGCCAAAAATCTTTATTACCATAAGAAAACAAATAAATAATATCACAATATAAGTCTGCAATGTAAATGAGAAATAGTTATGCGAAGGATGCACCATAAGCTTAGCTGTTGAGAGGGCAGTATCCAGTAAGACAACTGTATGGTGCTCACTGAGATAGAGCTTTCAAAGTAATGCCAGTAAACTGTATAGCATTTCCAAGTATCTTCAAACAACATTGAAGAATCCTTCTGAACAGAGATTGTCTGAAGTAGGAGATTGCAAAAACAAATTTGAAGCAGAGGAGGAGAAGGTGAAAGGCGGAGGAGAAATTTGCAAATAGGCTTGGCCTTCAACCATCAGAAACCATACTCTTGCCTCCTTACATACAGATCAAAGACTTCGAGTTTGAGAAAGAAAGGGATGCCATGAGGCAATATCACTCTGTTTCTTTTTGGGTGTTTCCAAAGTTAAAAATATCTCCACCCACAAAGCTAGAAATTCTGCATCATAGCTTATAAAATAAAAAGAACTATATGATCTTATCAGTAGTGTTCTCCTTTTGGTATTGTTGTTGCTGCCAGTAGCAATTCTTAGTGCATTTTCTACAAAATATAGGGCTATTTCTTACTCATTTCACTGATCTTTTTGTACACGACTTAGTGAAACTTGGCCATAGTAACCTCTAAGTCAACTGTGGTAGAGATGTGCATCCTCCTCCTCTTCCGCATCATATTTAAGGGATTTCAAATCAGAGTCATAACCTGGATCTTTCATGTTATTGTAAAATTCTTTCATAGTAGCATAAATCACGCCAATATGTTCCTGCTGTATATTCGCAGTGACAGGTTTAATCTTTTTCTTTATTTGAGTCCAACTGTAACCTGGCCTTGTTATCACATGTCGATCTATCATCAACTTTCTGACTTCTTCAACTTCATCCCACAACCCAAGAGATGCATATAAGTTAGAGAGTAAGACATAGTTACCTGAATCTTGTGGATCCATATCAAACAGTCTCTCAGCGACCCTCCGACCAAGTTCCACATTCTGATGGATTCTACACGCACCAAGAAGTGCAGCCCAAACCACAGAGTCTGGCTCGATGGGCATGTTCTCTATGAACTCCTCAGCTTCAGATAAGTAACCAGCCCGCCCTAGAAGATCAACCATAGAAGCATAATGCTCTCTTGATGGCATGATTCCATAAACTTTGCTCATTGACTTGAAATAGTGCCATCCTTCATCAACTAAGCCGCCATGGCTACAAGCACATAAGAGCACTAAGAATGTCACTGCATTTGGAAGGACTTGTTCAGACTTCATTTGCTCAAAAATCTCCACGGCCTCCCTTCCAAGACCATGTTGAGCACATCCTGCAAGCATTGAGTTCCATGTAACTATATCACACTCAAACATCTCATAGAAGACCCAAAACGAATCTGCACAGCCACACTTAAAGTACATTGTAATCAAAGCATTGCCAACAAATAGTTCCAGATCATAGCCCATTTTAAATGTAAGGCCATGGATCTGTCGGCCAAGGTTTGTGGCAGCCAAACTCCCACAAGCACTAAGAACACTAGTAATCGTCAGAGAGTTGGGTAGTATTCCTTCGTTTAACATTTTGAGAAAGAGTTTCAAAGCTTCATTCCAATTTTCAGCCTGTGTATATGCAGATATAATGGCAGTCCAAGACACAACATCTCGCTTCGACATCTTATCGAAAGCAATTCGTGCATCCTCCATCATGTTATTCTGAGAAAGAGCAGTTATCAAAGAATTCCAGGAGACAGTATCTCTTGCTTTCATCCACCGGAAAACGCCAGACACAGCTTCAATGTTCTTGCACTTGGCATACATGGTAATTAAACCATTGTTAACATAAGAATTGAACTGAGAACCTGCTTTTAGAGAAAGCGAGTGTAGTTGTCTGCCAAACTCAAGAGCTCCAATATTACCAGAGGCAAAGAAACCACTGGTCAAACTTGAAAGGCTGGGCAACATCCCAAGCCTATGAAGTTCCGACAGAAGATGCAGAGCTTCTTCATTCTCTCCATTCTGCGCACAACCAGCAATCATCGCAGACCATGAGACTGCATTCCTCATGGGCATCCTATGAAACAACTGCTTTGCTTCATCTAACATATTGTTCTGTGCATACCCAGCAATCATAGCATTCCAAGAAACCACACTAGGATTGGGAATCTGTTCAAAAAGGATTTTTGCTGCACTTATCCTGCCATTCTGAGCATAGCCAGTCAACATTGCAGTTTGGGAGGCAAGGGACTTCACAGGATCCCTCTCGTAAATAGAGATGGCATCATCCAACAGCCCAGTATGTGCAAAGGTAGCAATCATCGTGGACCAAGAGTACTCATTCCTCTCTGGCATTTGTTCAAAGAACTTCACTGCTTCATCCAACCCTCCGCCATCCTTCGTGTAAGCATTCAGAATAGCTGTTCCCACTACCACATCCCCTTCGAAATTTGTCTTGATCACCAAAGTACGTAGGTTTTCGAGCAGCTTGAGATTGCCAAGAGCCACAACTGCAGAGATAACGGCCGTGAAATTAGACTGGTCCGGTCTCACTACTTCCCGATGCATCCTAAGGAAAGTCCGCCAAGCCTTTCCATGTTCATTAACCATAACATACCCAGAAATCATCACCGTCCAAGAAACCAAGTCCTTCATGTGCATCTGCTCGAACAATTCCTTCGCTTCAACCATCTGATGAGCATGGCAGTACCCAGTGATGATAGCATTCCACGATGCAATATCATGCATCGGCATCGTATCGAAGAGACGCCGAGCCATGCCAACATACCCATTCTGTGCATACCCACTAATCAAAGCGTTCCAGGAAACCGTGTTGCGCTCGGGCATCAAGTCGAATAGGAGCTGGGCCTCCTCGAGGCAGCCACTTCTGGCATAACCAGAAACCAAGATGGTCCACGTCCGTGTGTTCCTTCCAGCAAAGGCGTCAAAGAGCCTCCGGGCATCATCCATCATGCCGTTGAGGGAGTAGCCAAAGATCATGGAGTTCCAGGTGATGGTGTCTCTGTGGGGCATCGTATCGAACACGCTACGTGCTTCGCTTACGTAGCCGAGGCGACACAAATCTTGGATCCTGGCGGTGTAGCGAGAGAGATCGTTTGCTGGATACGAGCTCACAGGAAGGGGGAAATTAGACAGGGATCGAAGAAGAGAGTGATGCAAGGAAAAAGAGTGATGGATGGCGCTGCTCCATCTCAGGCCAATCATCATATTAGAAATATATTTACAGCGAGAGAGAGAGAGAGAGAGAGAGAGAGAGAGGGTGGGCTTGAAGGAAGAGAAGAACAAGGTGGGTGTTAGGTTGGTGAAGGAGGCTCTGGCGAGGAGGACGCGGAGCAACGCCGGAGTCGAGAGAAGACGAAGGCAACGTTTCCTGGCGGGAATTTTGAAGTCGGGTTTTGTTTGGTTTGACCAAACGAATCTCAAGTCAACAATTAATGGCAAAATTTGCGATCATATAGATATGTATGACTTCAGCACAAGTCATTTGAATATTTTGCTCCCTAAATTGAAATTATTTACCTTAATGATTTGCATATAATTAATTATAGTTAATCTTCTTAGTTAATTATCATTTTGATTATTAAATATAATTTTAAATAATAATTTATCCTGAACAAGTCATTTGCATTTATCTTCTTTTTTTTCTTTTTTTTCATATTGATTGACCAACCCAAAAGTGAACCAATTTAATTATAGTGTTTTTACATAACACAAAAATATTCTATTATAATATTTCCACACAGTGTCATAATATTTTTCTAATATTATTGAAAACAAAAACATTATGTTATTTTTAGTGCTTTCCTATTATTACTGAAAACACACTGTAATAGTATAAAAACACTATTAACATTATAATATAATATTTTACTATAATATTTCTATATTACTAAAAGTATTATAATATAATATATAAAAAATATTATAACTTGATTAAATCATCCTATGAAATGGTCCATAGCAAGAACAAAAGATAAGAAGAGTATTTCAAGTATTGGGTAAAAAAGGAATTTTCTTTTTCATGAATTCATCAAAATAAAAAATCATCTTAGAAAAAATGATCCCTAAAATTGTTAAATAAAAATCACTTGTCATAAATCTGTAAACCAAGTTACTTGTAATATATCCACCAAACATTTACACCAACTTAAGCTTCAAACCTTGGATTATGCACATAATGTCTGTCATAGTGATTTCATTTAATGTGGCTCTAATATCATTTATCATGAACTGATCTAATGAAATAACTAATTCATTTACCTATGTAAAAGTAGTAGAGTGATCGATCAATCTCTTTCGTATATTCTTACAGTTTGAATATTATATATTTTAATTAATTAAATTATTTACATGACTAAATATTAATTATAACAAAGAAATAATACGACCACGGCGCATAGATCTGCGCCGACAGAGGCTCCATAAAAATCTAAGGAGTACATCAAGGCACCGACGCTTCAAATCGAATCCGAGCCGTCCGATTTGTCCATGATCCTTTCTCCCACCTACTCAAATATCATCGCGCCCACGCCGTGACGGATGTCGCGGGGGCAATGGACGGCTCGGATGGACCGACGGACCACCGATGATTTGATTGATGGCGACAGCGAAGACATCACATGCTGCGCCACAACGGTAGCGTAGGCTTGCGAAGGCAGCGACAGATCGCAACAGCTCAGCGACGGGTCGCGGTCACGTGCACTGCTCGGGGCTTCGTTGCCAGAGGAGCGGCAATTAACCGGCACATGTACGTGTCTTCCGTATAATACCCATACTAGCCTTGGATAAATGGAGGAAGGGCTTCTTGCATGCTGCCCTTTGTAGTTATCTTCAATTACATATACATCCTCACAGTTCTCATAAGCTTCATGATTTCCAATTTCATTGTGAATTAAAAATGAATAGTCAAAAACAAAGCTTACATGCTAAAAATAGTCAGAAAAGTTAAGATTTTTAATGTAAATAAAAAATTATATATTTTTTTTATTTAAGTAAGAATATTAATTTATATGGAGCTATATCATATAATCTATTTTTGATAATCGAGATATTATGATATTATTATTTTATTATCACATAAAATATATAATAAATATATATGTAATTCTATGTCAATTGAAGAGTAAGGAAATTAAGACCATGGGAGGTCTATTCAAATAGACAAATGATCATTTATCATTTACAAGATTTGAAAATAATAATTTTATAAATATACAATATATATCATAGAAGGAAAAAACCTAAAAACCCATGTTAAACACTACCAATAACATTACTAAATATTTAATTATATTAACAAAATAAATAAGTATAATATTCTTGCTCAAAGTTTTATAAAGATACATTTCAGATTTTGCTAGAAATATACACACACATTCTCTCTCTCTCTCTCTCTCTCTCTATATATATATATATATATATATATATATATATGGGGTAAGTATAATTTGTAGGGATAAATAAAAAATATTATTGACTTTAGAGGGATATATATGCAATTTGACCCACATATACATGAGTGAGGGTAGACTTGACTTGTTCTTGGGAAGATGACAGCCGTCCAAACAGCGGGGCCCACCGGAGAAGGCGGGCCCCGCGCCCGCTTTTGTCTTCCCCCGTCGCTCCGCCTTCCGCATACCATATCAATCAAGTCACCCCCAGCCCTCGAGAGCCAAACCAGATCTACCCTTTCTTCTTCGTCCTCCTACCCAGACAAAGCTCGACCTTTGCAAGCGGGCGACGTAGAGAGAGATCTCGAGGAAGATGAGGGAGATCATAAGCATCCACATCGGGCAGGCCGGCATCCAGGTGGGCAACGCCTGCTGGGAGCTCTACTGCCTCGAGCACGGCATCCAGCCCGATGGCATCATGCCGAGGTCTCTCTCTTCAGACCATGTCTTCTTTAACCCCCGCCGAATGTTTGCCTTTTGTTGCTAATCCTTGTTTGTGATCGCAAGCATTTGTTAATAAGACTCCTTCTTGGGAAAAAAACTTCCTTTTTTGTTTTTATATTTATTTATACTTGATAGCTGCATCATTAGCCTCATTTTTGTCTCACCAAAATTCCCCCTTTTGTATGGTATTATTTGTTCGTGATCGCTATTTTTCTTTCGTAATAGTTTCTCTTTTAGGGGAAAGTTAACTTCATTTTTTTTTTTTTTATTATTTGATATATACCTGTTTACTAGATCTCCGACCTCATTTCGTTTTCATCGAAAGTCCCGTTAGCAATGTTTTTTTGTGATCTCTTTTGTTGAAATCGAAAAGTTCTCCACTTTTTGTTTGATTTACGTTTTTTTTTTCTACTTCATGGTTGACCTCATCATATTGGTTGTATGGCGCCAGATCTATTGATTGTTTGGCTCAGATTCCCTTTGGGGGTTCTCGTATGTTAAAAAGAGAAAAGAACGAACTCTAGGCCAAAGATATTTTTTATTGATTTGCGATTCAGAAATAGAAGTTAATATGGAGAGCGGTGGACAAAGATCTATACTGTATGGTGTTTTTCATACTATATTAAGTGTGTGATTCAGTAATGGTGAGTTTTGAGGTCATCCATGGCTTTCATGATGCTTCATGGGGACTAATAATTGTAGTTCTTAGGAGTAAAGGTATGTCCTCTTTTGAGTACTTGTTTTCCGTGACTCTAACAGAGGTTATTGATCTTTCCTCGTTGATCTTTAGATCCGTAACTGTCACGGAGGGTATTGATCTGATCCGTGGTCAGGCTTCTTTTCGATGTTTGATGAGACAGATACTTCTACTAGATCTAATGGGCAGTGATTCTGCCTCATAAATCTTTAAAGCTGCAAGTGCTTGCTCTGATCTTATGATCTGCTTGGTTACGACTGATATGTACTTCCTTTTCCACAGTGATTCTTCGGTGGGAGTTGCAACAGATGCGTTCAATACCTTCTTCAGTGAGACCAGTGCTGGCAAGCATGTCCCAAGGGCCATCTTTGTGGATCTTGAGCCCACTGTCATCGATGAAGTGAGAACTGGGACATATCGCCAGCTCTTCCATCCAGAACAGCTCATCTCTGGGAAGGAGGATGCCGCAAATAACTTTGCACGGGGTCACTATACAGGTAGCTGATACTTTTCTTTTAAATAGGAATTATTATTCAGATCCTGAGTTTAGGTTTTGATCTTGGTTTTTGGTAATGAACTACAGTTGGGAAGGAAATTGTTGATCTCTGCCTTGATCGAGTTAGAAAACTAGCAGACAACTGCACTGGTTTGCAAGGATTTTTGGTCTTCAATGCTGTTGGTGGTGGAACTGGATCTGGTTTGGGTTCCTTGCTGCTAGAACGGTTGTCTGTGGATTACGGAAAGAAGTCAAAGCTCGGCTTCACCATTTATCCTTCTCCTCAGGTAGCACCAAGCTGTGAAGATAGTTTGCTTTCAGTTCATGTCAAATTGCTCGTTTTGTTGTTGATCTTGTGATGCTCAAGTAAAATTTTGATTCTTGGAGGATTCTGTGGAAAAAATGCTTTGATTTGGTCAACCCGGTTCAAAAAGCATAATATCAAACACATTAGTTTGATATGTCAGATCTATAAATTTTCTGAGAAATTTGCTAAGTTTTACTTTAGTCCATATGATGGTCTGGTAGGATGCATATATTGAGGTCAAATCATGTCTGACTGCAAACCATAATTTGACAGGCTTAGTTGACTATTAGAGCACTAAGTTTATTGAAATTCCTAAGAAGTTCCAAAAGATTCCAGAAAATTTATCAAATAATATTTCTTATTCAGAAATTGATTTAGTAAGCTGTATATCTTTCTGAATTTTGCGCTAATTGGTCCTTTACTAATTACTTTAGAACTTGCATTTCAGCTTAGGCCTTGTACGTTCTGTTGAAGCAAAGTTCTATCAACAACCATGAAATAAAAACAAGTTGATATCCAGGACAAATGGTCCCATTGGCATTTGCTTATGTACACCCACAAATTTTGTGGGCGTTCAATGTTTTTAGCTGGGAACTGTATGGCGATAGGAAGTTGTCCACATCTTCTTAGATGCATGTTGAGAAAAATCTTACTTTTCTGTTTGTCTCATGATCTGGACTTACCTGTGATATTTCTTGCTGTAGGTCTCTACAGCTGTTGTGGAGCCATATAACAGTGTGCTTTCCACCCATTCCTTGCTTGAACACACAGATGTTGCAGTTCTTTTAGACAATGAAGCCATTTATGATATCTGCAGGAGGTCTCTAGATATTGAGAGGCCAACTTACACCAACTTGAACCGGTTGATATCTCAAGTCATATCCTCTTTAACCACTTCTTTGAGGTTTGATGGAGCTATTAATGTGGATGTTACAGAATTCCAGACCAATCTTGTGCCCTATCCTAGAATCCATTTTATGCTCTCCTCATATGCCCCTGTTATTTCTGCTGAGAAAGCATACCATGAGCAACTATCTGTCCCTGAAATCACAAATGCAGTGTTTGAGCCATCAAGCATGATGGCAAAATGTGACCCTAGGCATGGTAAATATATGGCTTGTTGTCTGATGTACCGTGGGGATGTCGTGCCCAAGGATGTGAATGCTGCTGTCGCGACCATCAAGACAAAGAGGACTGTCCAATTTGTCGACTGGTAATCAGCCGCTATACTTTTTATTAGTCTAATTTGCGTTATGGGGCTTCTTAATTGACCATATTGATGATGTTTTGTGAAGGTGCCCTACTGGTTTCAAGTGTGGGATAAACTATCAGCCACCGACAGTGGTCCCTGGAGGCGATTTAGCACGAGTGCAGCGTGCTGTATGCATGATCAGCAACAATACTGCCGTTGCTGAGGTGTTCTCACGTATCGACCATAAGTTCGACCTGATGTACTCAAAGCGTGCATTCGTCCACTGGTACGTGGGTGAGGGAATGGAAGAAGGTGAGTTCTCGGAAGCCCGGGAGGACTTGGCTGCTCTCGAGAAGGACTACGAGGAGGTTGGAGCCGAAGGTGCAGATGATGATGAGGAGGGAGAAGATTTCTAAGCATGTTTGATTGCTTCTTAGTGTTTGCTTGTGTTCTATCATCATGCATTCTTATGCATCTCTAGTTGCTACTACTCCTATGTTGTCTTGCTTTTGTGTTGCATGTTTCAGCTGTCGAATTTAAATCGTGGTTGTTAAAACGCTATTTAAATTATCGTTTGTGGAAGAAGCTTGCTTTTGTTACATTAAATCGTATGAAGGATGGATATGCTGATATAGCACTGATTGGATTGCGATTACGTTAAATAGTCACAAAAGTAGTGATGAAAGATCATGGGATCCATTTGTGGCACGTTTTACAAGGTGCTGATAAAGAAAAGAAGGCTTCTGTTGTCATGCTGTGAGATTTGAGATTCATATGTGCCCTATGAAATTTATGGGATTTTGCTTATACATTTCTATTGTTATGAACATTTCTACATATAATATTTGAATATGATTATATTATACTATCTTAAATTATAATAAGACCAAACGTGACTGAATTTAAATTTAGAATGTAGTAAGGTCATTTATTAGAAGCGATAAAATTCTAATATATGATAAAAATCGAAGTAGCTAAAATAATGTTCATTTATTAATTTAATATAGAGTATTTTATGATAAAATAGGAGGTTAATTATAAATTATATCTTATAATTAATTAGTTTTAATATCTTAAAATTTATATTTTTAAAAATTAAATTAAAAATATATATACTTATGAAAGTAAAATATTTAACCTTATTTCTTCTTTACTAACTTTATATCATTTCGATTTATCACTAAATAATATTTCGTTTCATCACTAAAATTATATGATATTTTTTCAGTAAAATAGAAAAATATATTAAATATTTTATTTTTTAAATATAATAATATTAGAGATCTGATGCTAAAGTTGGCTACAGCTTTCGGCATTGCAACATGATCCAGTCCTTTGGATCAATCGCCGTCATAGCCCGAATTTTGATGCTTTTTTGACCCGTCCATTATCGCGCTTGCTGCTCTGCGTCATGCAGCAAATCTCAAGCTATTATTCCGTGCTGCTCGGAACGCCAAGCGTCTTTCCCACCTTCGGTCGCTCCAAACCCGAAACGAGAGAGAGAGAGAGAGAGAGAGAAGGGCGACACGATCATGGCGAGCCTCGGCTCTCCTTCCCTACCCGTCTCCAATTCCCGTCCTCGTCCTCGTCGCAACCGCGGAGCTAGCCTCGACTCCGGCCGCATGAAAGCCATCTCGATGCCGAAACGTCTCGCCTCCCCTCGGTTCGGTCCAATTGGGTACCGCCACATTCGCTGCTTAGCGGATTCGCCGAAAGAGATCGGCTCAGCGAAGCGACCGTCTGATCTCGTGGTTGCCGCTGCCACCGCTCAAGAACCCGAAGTTCGCACCGGGTAATTCCTTCTTGAATTCCTTTATTCTTTGGTTTTGTTTTTTATCAACTGATGTTGGATGAACAAAGATGTAATTTCCTTTTTTATAGGAATATATTGTGCACCTCAATTATGCTTGTAGATTTCAGAGTTAGACCAAGTTGCAGCAAGAGAGATAATTGATTTCCAGCCTCTATTTAGCTATCGTTCCGTAAAGTAAATGCATTAGTCCTTTTTTTCAATCTAGTTGAATAATTCGGATATAGCTTCTAAATGGAATGATTCCTAAGGTTATTTCCTTTCTTCTTGCCCTGAACGCTTGTGTTTTGTTTCGAAGGATATTTGAGCAACATGATCGCCTGAACTGTGTTGTTAGTCGTCGAAATTAAGCAACACAAGCAATTAACTCTCTCATCCTATGTTAAACTATCCATTCCTAAAACAATTTTTCATTTGTTATATAACAAGTGGAATATTTAATTTTTCCAAAATCATTTTATGGCGTATATGAAGATGCTGTCCTATGATCAGTTCACACCTGGCTATGCAATCTTAATAAACCTGTCATTGTATAAGCGACGTGTGCAGTCATGTTTATAGTCCGCTTAAGCATGAACATGCTTTTATAATTCACCCTAACTACTACTGCTGTATGTGTTTTCCGGGGATTTTGAGGTTAACCTTTAGTTATAACCATTTGATTGAATAATAATTTGTTGACAACATTGCACTTGGGTGTGTTTGGTTGTGTCTCAGTTTGTCCCATGACAATGTGAGAGTATCTCAGGTTAAAGGTTGAATCATGTTGGTTACAGCCTTCTTGATTTGCCCTGTTTGAGGGAATCTCAAGGAAAAAAAATTGTTGCTGGCGTGTGTAAGGACATCAACGACTTATTAATATTCATTTTTGACACAGGAAAATCCTCGTGTCTACTGATTTTTTCTTTCTTTTGCGTGTTGGACGTACATACTTGCTTGAAATTTATAAAGAAGAAAAATGAAGGACTGGTAAATCAAATTCTCTCAGTAACTGTCAAACATTCCTAAATATTGTGCAAATATAACACAGGTTATGATGTCTCTACCTGTCTATAAAGATTTAGAAAAAAATATATTACTGACCTGTCTATACATGTTTTCTTTTTTATGGCTTGGTTTCATCCAAGTTCTTTGAGGAAAAAAGTACAAAAGAACAGTGGGAACAGCTCGCAAGCATAAATTTGTTGTTTATCTATGATGTCTGATTTTCATTATCTTCTGTCTTACAGAATGTGGAATTGGCGAGGGTATCGTGTTCGTTATCAGTCTGCTGGAGATACAGGCCCATCATTAGTTCTAATTCATGGTTTTGGGGCAAACAGGTGTATATCATATATGATTTGGTTTCCGTTTGCAGACAACTAGATGCCATAGGTATTTTTGTGCACATATTGCTTTAGAGAATGATCACATGATAAATTATTGTCTCAGATTGTAAAATTATTCACTCGAGCTCCATGGTCTTCTTGATGTATCCACTGCTTGTTTCATTTTCCATGTTAAAATTTAATTCTTTTGCACCTGCAGAAGCTTACGAATCCTATATGGATTCTTGTATATGCATTTGTCATGTTTGATATGTATGCTGTACACATCTATCTTTGTGAGCTCACGTGACTGCATGCATATGATGATGCATAGCCTGCTACTATGGGCTCTACAACACCCTCCTCCCCCCCCTCCTCCTCCTCCTCCTCTCTCTCTCTCTCTCTCTCTCTCTCTCTCTCTCTCTCTCTCTCTCATCTTCTGCATTCCTACAGATTAAGCGAACATTGACATTTTACAAGATTGTGTTCGATTAATTTCTGCTATGAGCAACCATATCCACCACCTCACATAAAATGAGGATGTATCTCAAGGCAGGATTTGTAGATCTTGAGCCATAAAGGAAATATCTTTTGTGAGTAGACCTCCATGCAGCATCTCTATAAATGGAGACATTGTACTTTATTACGCAGACTAGTTACATAAAGGTGGATATTCAGTAGCACCAGAATCACCAAAAATGAAATAATCAAGTTCATGGAAGGTTTGTAGTTTCATCTTGCATGGCATACTTAAGAGATTTAGTACATCCAATAAGAGATGGCTTGATAATGACAACAAAGAGGTGAAGAGATTTTTTTTTTTTCAGTTTTCATAAACTAGTTCCGATATAGAGGATCAATGGAAACCTAAGTTTAATTTGGTTACATTAACAAGATCAAATAGAAACAACTGATATTAATGGAGCCATTTCAAAATAGCCAAGAAAAGGACTCTGTTTCATTTGTGGATATTTAAATTTATTGGTTTTGCAGGTTGGAAGTGATGAAACATAATATAATATTTGCCATTGTTGAGTTCAATTGAGCAACATTGATTTCTATGTGCAATGACATACATGTGCAGGATTGCCTCATGCTCACCTCTGTTATTGAATCATTCTATAATTTCTATAATGTTTAGCTATTTTAGAAGCATTAAAAAATTGATTGGATTTTCGAACTATCTTTCTGCTTTTGAATACAATGTCTTCAGATAAAATTGTTGATGTGAGTCTCCTTTTGCAGTGACCACTGGAGAAAAAATATTTCTGTCCTTGCAAAATCAAATAGAGTTTATTCAATTGATCTAATTGGTTATGGTTATTCTGATAAGCCAAATCCACGTGAGATTGGTGTGAATTCGTTCTATACATTTGAGACATGGGCAGATCAGCTGAATGATTTTTGTGCTGATGTGGTCAAAGATCAAGCATTCTTTATATGTAACTCCATTGGGGGTGAGTCTTAAGTCCATCAGTCTTTGGCAATCATTATTTGATATCAGTGATTACAGTCTGATGCAGCACCACAAAAAGAGGTTATGTTGTATTTTTTTTTTCCTTTTTGCATTTCTTCATGATTTTCTTGCAATATTTTTCTTTGTGGAAATACTAGACAATTACAATACTTTTCAGAATCTTTTTTGGAAATCTTTCTTAAATTTTTAATTGATGCCATTCCATCTATATGCTTAAGCTGATAGATAAGAATGATATATGATATTATAATCTTGAATCTTTCCCTCACGTGTGGATGGCATATAGATGGAATTAGAAAATATTGGTGAAGGGTGTAGAATGGATACTTCTTGATAGCCTGCTGGACCTTTGGAAGGAGAGATTTCCAATCTTAGTAATTTATTTATATGCTAAATATATTCACAGGAGTTGTTGGCCTTCAGGCAGCTGTTATGCAGCCTCGGATCTGCAAGGGTATCATTCTACTGAATATTTCCTTAAGATTGCTCCATATAACGAAGCAGCCTTGGTATGGAAGACCTTTTATAAGGTCATTTCAGAGCCTTTTGAGGTAGATACTTGTGCACATGAACAATCTCATTCTTTCTTGTCATGGATCCATGATCACTCTCAAGATTGGAGATTTTATTGACATAGGAATACAGCTGTTGGAAAGCTTTTCTTCAAGGCAGTTGCCACGCCAGACTCTGTTAGAAGCATTCTTTGCCAGGTGATCTTTTCAGACAGAACTTCACATTACATTAATGTCCATCTTAAACAACATTAAATTTTATTACCATGATTAAGTTTTCTATTTTTGGTTCTAATATTGTTAAGTTAGATACATGAATTCTAAAACATAATAGGCACAAATTTGTTATTTCTTTTTCTGGCATCACATACAGCAAAAATGTAATACTTTGAAGTTTGAATATCATTAAACCAGCAGCTTAAATAGTAACTTTTTCTCGAAAAACAGAATAGAGCATTTCACTAACTTTGCTCTTCAAGCATTCCGTTTCTGGGTCATGGAGAAGGCAAACTTTTAGTGCTTAGCAGCCTGTAATGCCTCCATTTCTGCCATGCCTAATTCCATTCCTTCATGCACCACAATACCGTCCCATTCTTTGACAGATAGGTTGAGATCCTCAACTGTGATTAAAGAGGTAAATTGGGATGCCATCATCTGTGCATTGTACCTTTTTAATACCAATTGAACTGTACTTTAGGAAAAATTTTCCAACATCTCCCCAAGTAATTTGACTCTTGTTAACTTGAGCTAACTCATTGTCAACCTAAAAAACACCATCGTGGCATTTATCTCGTGATTGTTGGTTTGGTCAGAGTTGAGCAAACCCAATATAAGGTCAACTTTGTCGGTTTAGCATTGGGGGAATGTGTTGTATAGAGCTAGTCGTGTCATTTCGACATGCCTGATAGATGATTTAACTCTATATATACATACACACACATAGAGAGAGATAGAGTTGTACTAGAATTGTAATGGTAGACTTGAGTCTCAATCCTATAAACTCGAAACCAATCATGGAATTTGTAAATTGAATATTAGCTCTGTTAAGATGACCTATAGGTTTTGTACAATCTAGAACATATGCATCAAGTGAAGGAAAAAATAATTAATTCTAATGGCATAAAGTATCTTAATTTGGTTGAAAGTATAGAAGTGTCAGAATAAGTAGGATTTCTACATATATTCATTCATCTAATAATAGCTAGATCTGAATCGATCATTTCAATCATTAATTAAATTGGCTTAGTTTCTTATACAATTCATTTTGTGTTAGTTTGATGAACACCAAAGATGTATCCAGTTATATGACTTTTAAATATAAATGTTTTAATATTTAAACATTGCAGATCATATTCGACAAATAGACTTTCAGGCTGAAGCCTCAATTAATTGTGAGGTGTCAGGATTGAGGCCTAGATCCTCTTGTTAGGACTCTCTCTCTCTTTATATATATGTATATATATATGTATATATATATATATATGTATATATATATATATGTATGTATGTATGTATGTATGTATATTTATTTATATATATGTGAGATACAAAGAGAACATAAAGATATTATCTCTATTGTCTTTGTCTAATATTCTTTGTTCCCCGATAAACATACTTAAATTGATAATTGGTATTCTTTGTGATGCAGTAATCTTTAAAATTTAAATATCCTAGCTATTTTTCATAGGTTATATTTGGCAGTTTCTATATCTGCAGGTGGTCTTCTTTTAGTTGTTCTAACTAGATTCTTTTCAGTGTTATCATGACACATCGATGGTGACAGATGAACTAGTTCAGATTATCCTGCAGCCAGGACTTGAACCTGGTGCCGCTGATGTATTCCTCGAGTTCATCTGCTATTCAGGTGGTCCTCTGCCTGAAGAATTGCTTCCAAAAGTGAAGGTCAGTGAAGAGGTTCTCACTGTACAATGTATCCTTTTTTTCCTGCACGTCATTTTTTATAATGCGTAACCACTATAATTTTCTCGTACTGTTTCGTTTACTTCAGTGTCCTGTTTTGGTTGCGTGGGGTGACAAGGACCCATGGGAGCCTGTTGAACTTGGAAAACTGTATGCGGAGTTTGGTGTAGTAGAGGATTTTGTCATCCTCCCCGATGTCGGCCACTGCCCACAGGTTCTTCATCGACTTTCTGTTGCACTGAATTTAAGTCTGTTGACAACATCCTCCTTGACAACCATTTTTTTCTTTGCAGGATGAAGCTCCAGATCTCGTGAATCCCTTGATTCAATCATTTGTCGAGCGGCATACACCATGAAACGTATGTGCTCGCTTCTGATTTCTGATATATTTTTTTTTCTCTCCCACCATAAGTAATATTCCTAAATGTTCATAGCACAATTTTTCACTAGACCACCAGAAGTTGAGAGAGAACTTTCCTGAGACTGATACCTCAGTTACGTGAACTTGAGTTTAATAGATTTTGAATTCTTTCGTTGTTCTTTCTTTCTTCTTCCTTCAAATGATATGGTCAATTATTTTCTTAACAGAAATTCTTGAATATGGTAAGTAAAATGGTATTGACAATGAATTTTTTTTCTTTAATCTCAAAACGACACTTTTCTAATGAATATATTTTTGGTACTTTACTTCTGCCCATTAGCTGCCTGTTCCTGACATAATCAGAATGCTGACCTTGTCATGTTTGTCAACTGATGCTATTACCTCGCAGACTTCCAGCAGAAAGTTTCCATGATGCAGGTCACAGTCCTTCATTTTGCGGCGGTATCCGCGAAATCAATTTAATTTTTACATGTGAAGTGAGCAGCCTCAAAAACACTTCAAGATGAGAACTCAAAAACTTAAGACTGAATAGGTTTGAATCAGGTGAATCTTTCAGCCTGAGTTGATCTGGTTGGGTGAAGCTGATGGCTCCTCCTAATACAATCGCTTGCTATCTTTTCGAAATAATGTGCACTGGTTGTCAATGATACAAACAAACCTCTCCAAGTTCAAAACATCAACCAAAAAGTTGGTGATGATGATCTCAGTTGGTAAGGAAGAGCATGACCTCCATTTTTTTTAGGTCCCTCTGTGCCCTGTTCTCTTCTTGCCTTGTGTAGAATCATGCGCTTCATTCGGACACGATGACATGCACATTAGGTTAGGATCTGTGGCTTGGAAGTTAGGAAGACTACAAAAGAGGAAGAGGCCCAACACATTGTTTGTTTGTTACACGTCACCCTAATTAATTAATACCCGCTCAATTGCCCTGTAAAGTACATGTAAGAGAACAATAAACGCCAATTTCTTCTCCAAATAAATTATCTTTTTTTTTTTTTATTTCAGAGCGTCCCTTTTTATCAAATTTAAATCAAAAAAGGTAAAAAGAACTATGCACAACAGGAAGAAAAGCTTTGGTCCGATCTAAAAGAGAAGGGCATGGGGTGCGTGTCCCGAGGAGCCTTCCTTTTAAGCTGTCAAACTTGACATCTTCTTCCCCACCCAGGCAAAAGCAGCAAGGCAGCAGCGACATGTGATCCACCACCACCACAACCAGCTAAACCCCGACGATTCTTGAGGTTGTGTTCTCTGGGACACCATGTCCCAAGGCAGGGTAAAATTCTGGGTCGAGCCATGAAATTTCCACACGACTTACACTGACCTGTGGGAGGCTGGGACCAGCGACCGGGCCCACTCCGGAGCTGCTGGCCCCATCCCTCATCGCCCACTGGAAAGGTCACTCGAGATTTGTAGACAGTGACCTCCTAATGAAGTACAAGTCCCGAGAGAGACGCTCGAGGAGTTTGAATGCGAACAACAGAAAGAAAAGAAAGGATCCAATTCTAAAATTCACTGAAAAAGCCATCGTCTCTGGTCCCCCCCAAAATAAAAATAATAATAATAATATCTCAGGATCGAAAATTCTGCTTCGTGACAGAATTGATCGAACCTAATCTGATCAGATTGTATTGGTAATAATTCCTTACAGGTGAACCTAAAAATATTACCATGTTCAATCAATCCAACGTAATTGGGACGTTGAACGATCCGGAAAGGTTGGTGAAGTCATAATGCTATGATGTACCCATGCAATCTCATATCCTACTCATGATATATTATTATGGATGGTATCAAGTTATGGCTATGATACAGAAACTTAGAGAGAGAGAGAGAGTGAAGTTATGCACGTTGGCAGTCGGCGAAATCTTGCACGGTGTGATGCACTTGTGCTTCACCACCATCCACCTTGAGATGAGCTGAGTTGTGAGAGTGAATGGAATAGGAGCATCAATGTATCATTCTTCGTTGAACGATGAACTCAAGTCAAAAGTATTAAACTCTTGTGTTTGGCTTTCCTCGGACAATGAGATCCGATCAACCATTGAAATGGTGTGTGTGGAGGTGTTCGTGGGGAATAATGATGATGAGGATGTGTGGGAGGTGACCCTTGAATAGCTTCTAAACTTGCTTTGGAGGAAGATGCCATTTAATAGCAGGCACTGTGTGGCCAAGAAGCTCACCACCATCTCTTAACCAAAGAATAGATTTAAAGCAACCTACCTCCATGTGTTCTTTCACTGCTCCGAGCTAATTATTGTAATGGTAACTGTTGCTGCAGCTGCTGCTCTCTCTCTCTGCCACCGGACGGCATGCATGAGGTTCTTGGAGAGAGGTGTTGAGATAAATAAAGAAGAGTAAAACCCAGAACCCTCTTTGGATTCCCCATAGATCTTCTAAACTGCACATGCTGTCTCCGCCTTTACCACTCCCATAAAAGCTCTTTGGCAACGGTGTCTCTCTCTCTCTCTCTGTTTTCTGCTTGGCTGTAGCGCACCCATAGCCTTTTGTCTTCTTCCTCCTCTTTTTTTATTGTTTTTTCCTTTACTCCAAAGAACTCTTTTTTCTTCTTCTACTTCTTCATACAAGGGCTTAAAAAGGCCTTTTTCCTCTCTTTTTCTTCTTTTCGGGAGGGTTGTTGAGCTAGAACAGACACACACTTCTTGAGCTCTCGAGTAGTCGAAACAGGTGCTATTTCTTTCTTAGCCTTTTTTTTTTACTTGCTTATGATTTTTCTCTCTCTTATTTTTTTGTCCCTCAAGTTTCTGATATGCTTGATGGTTTTAGTGGAAATGAGATATCTGTCATTGGTAGCTTTAGATCTGTACTTTTTAACTTTTATTTTGTTGGAAGTTGGAGATCAACCCAAAGTTCACTGTCAATTAGATAATGCTTTGCTCCCTCATTTCTCTGATCTTCTGTTTCTTCAAGGCACTCAAAGTAATAAAAATCTCGGTTGAACTGATTGCTTTCCATTTTGTGCTATTTGATTTGAAGTATCAACTATTGTAGATTGTCTCGTGAGATTGCTTGGCTGGGAGGAACTAGCTATGTTTGTCTCCGGGAGTTAAAGAGGCAGATTGTACGAATGCTTTAGCTTGCCTTGAGGTTTGTTGTTCTTAAAAATGAGGCACTGCTGGTATGGTTGGATTTGTGGATTCATATCTATAGGTAGAAATCGCCCTAAGAGAAATCCATTGGTAGAAATCACCCTATAGGTATTTGGATCAGGAAAATGGTAAGATTTATCTTGTAGTTAGCAGTCAATTTTAGTCTCCAACATTCTTTTTCTTTTTTGACTCGAATGAGATGTGTGTCTATAGGTAGAAATCACCCTAAGAGAAATCGATAGTAATTGGATCAGGAAAATGGTAAGATTTATCTTGTAGTTAGCAGTCAAATTTAGTTTCCAACATTCTTTTTCTTTTATGACTCGGATGAGATGTGTGTGTTTTGGAGGCATAAAGAAACATCAGTTCAGATACCTCAGTATGATGAGGAGCTCGGCTTCTGGATTCTTTGCACATGTTTCGAATCTTGTGAGAGCATATTATTGTTCTTGACATCCACCTCACCGCCAAAATTTGTCCATGAACTTATAATTGATTAGTTCCTTTGTTATTATACTTGAAATCTTGTCACTAAATTTGTATACTGTGTATTCTCTGAGCTACAAATTCGTGAAAGAGGATTTGTATCTTATCTGCCACAACAATTTGCCATTTTCTCTGTTTCTCATCGTCCTATTTGTGGACCTTACTAAAATATTGAATTTGGTTGTTGAAGTGGCAATCATCATCGGAGTTCGAATTGTGAAGTTTGTTTAGCCAGATGCGTACTGGAAAATGGGAGAAAATCGTGTTGCTTCTTATTTTTCTGTTCTCAAGTGCATCAGGTATTAGACTTCCAACTCTACTTTGTGAATTGCGAGCAACATTTGATTTTAGTTCAGAATAGTTTTGCAAACACTTTTGAAGTCCTAGATTTTAGATCATTTGACGTCTGCTCGAACAAGATTGCATGCATTTCAGGGTCACTTTGGTTTGTTTCTCTTGATTGATTCTACATGGAAGTTCTTGGTGTTTCCTTATTGGTTTGCAAAGATATGAATTCTGTGTTTCTTTGGTGAGAATTCTATGTGCTTAATGTTTTATTTCCAAAAATGTTCGTCTTATGGAGGTTGTATGGTCACTTTCGAAAAAAAAAAAATTAAATCAGCATTTGGTAGCTCATGTTATTATTTTTCCAAAATCAAAATATCTTCTTTATGTCAATTAGTCAAGTGTATAGGAGACAACTACATAGAGAACCTAATTTTATTCACTTCATGTTGATGGCATTCAGTTTTTCTCTGCAATTTTTCAAGCTTTTAGAATTATTGCATTTGTTTTTCGAACTAGAGCATTCTACGTTCCTCTCATTCTATTTGTAGCCTGCGACTCTCGTTTGCTGTCTGCTTACGTTTTGAGTTGATGATCTCACAAATTTTTAGGTGCATTTATTGGGATTAATATTGGCACTCAGATGTCCAGCTTGCCATCGGCAGCAGAAATTGTGTCGATTCTGAAAACTCAGCAGATTAAACACGTACGCTTGTTTGATGCTGACCACCAAATGCTGAATGCTCTCTCAAACACTGGAATAGAGGTCACGGTTGGGGTCCCCAATGACCAGCTGCTACGAATAGGAGAGTCTAGATCAGAAGCAGCTAACTGGATAAACAAAAATGTAGCTGCATTTGTTCCTGCGACTAACATCACTTGTATCGCTGTTGGCAATGAGGTCCTCACAACCATCCCAAATGCTGCTTTAGTTCTTGTTCCGGCTATGCAATTCCTCCAATCTGCTCTCGTGGCAGCAAACCTTAACTTTCAGGTCAAAGTTTCGAGCCCACAGTCGATGGACATGATTCCCAAACACTTTCCTCCATCGACAGCCACCTTCAACTTATCGTGGAACTCCGTGATGTATCAGTATCTTCAGTTCTTGAAGAATACAGGATCTTCTTTCATGCTAAATGCACAGCCTTATTATGCTTACGCCAAGGGACAGGGCATTTTCCCTCTAGAGTATGCTCTTTTCCGGCCGCTAGATCCGAACAATCAGATTGTGGACCCCAATACAAATTTCCAGTACACAAACATGTTTGACGCGATGATTGATGCTGCTTATTACTCCATGCAATCACTCAATTTTTCTAATATTCCGGTGACCGTGATGGCCTCGGGGTGGCCATCGCTAGGTGGAGCCAGCGAGCCAGAAGCCAATATTGACAATGCATTGGCCTACAACAGCAATCTTATCCGCCATGTGCTAAATGGTTCTGGCACACCAAGCCAGCCAACCACATCCGTTAGCGCATATGTCCATGAGCTGTTCAACGAGGATGTCCGACCTGGCCCTGTTTCTGAGAAGAACTGGGGGATATTTGCTTCCAATGGGACTGCTGTGTACTCTCTGAAATTTGGGCATCTAGCCGAGTCTAGTGCAGAGTCGACAGGTTTGGTCGGAGTTTTCTGTGTCGCAAACTCTAGTGCAGACTCCAATGCGCTGAAGAAAGGGTTGGATTGGGCTTGTGGACCTGGTTCGGCAAACTGCACAGCCATCCAGCAAGGGCAACCGTGCTATGAAGCCGACAATCTCGTAGCTATTGCCTCCTACGCATACAATGACTACTACCACCGAACTCAAGCGAGTGGCGGTAGCTGCAACTTTGGTAACACAGCCATGATTACCACGACCGATCCCAGTAAGTTCCTTTCACTTAAAATGGGTATACGAATATAAATGTTTTCGAATCACATTAGAAGGCTGAACACCGTTGGAATGGGTATCGATAGGAGGCATTCACAGAAACAAGAATTCATATAGATAGGTTTTGGTGACTCCACCAAAACCTATCTATAATCATTGTATTATTTTTGCAATCACTATCTTTTTGTCCTAAAAAATGGTTCCGATTATCATGAGTAGACTGTTCCAGTTAGCGACAGCATATATCATCTCGATGTAAATTCGATAGGTAGTTTATTCATTGGAACATGCATGCACATATTTCGACTGGATTACTTGTATCTTTCTTTCTTTCATTCTCAGTTTAACTCACATTCGTTTGCGACCGAAACCCTAATATTGCCATTTCTTCTACCCGATTGGATACGTTTGCAGGCCATGGCTCATGTATCTTTGCTGGAAGGTGAGTGACGAGGGAAATATTTTTTAAAGTTAATTTTGCAAAAAGGTTATACATTATTGTGGTTTCTTATAACCATCGGTCGCAATTGCAGCTCAGGGTCAAGCACCAGCTCGACCGAGGGTACGACACCCAGCGCCTTTGGACCGGTAGGCGCGCTTAGCGGGACTTCGAGACTGCAGTTTGTCTCCTCTGAGTTTCTAATCGCGTTCCTGTTAACCTTTCTTGTTTGACATGTAAAATTACATCGAATTATCGCTTCAGTTTTGCCAAGAAACTGAAAGAATGTTGTCATTGCAACAGCCAACAGATGGTGAGTTTTTAGAGTCCATTCGTCCATCCGTAACCCCAATTGGTCCTTCTACTCATGGTATAAATTTTTTAGAGGTCTGGATTCTTCTTTTTCCACTTGCTGTCTTGTTGATCTTGGACTCGCGATCAAGATAGGCTATGCACTTTCAGAGTAAATGCGAGACTTCTGCAACCTAAATATTTCATGGTTATTGATTGCTGAAACATGAGAAACTTAGACATGTCTTTACTCTCTAACTTTGTTGTTCATCTTTTATTTGATGTGTAGTTTTTTTCCCATTAGTACTGTAAAGTTGAAATTTTTTGGAATATACTATTGTGGGGAAAACCATAATTTCTTTCGAATTTGGAGTAAATTTGGCAAAGGTTTTTCTGATCATATGTCGAAGAACATTTTCAACAGCATGGAACGGTATTTATGTGAAAATTTTGATATATGGGTTGATCTAAAAACGCAATCAATTAGCTGCAATGGTAATGATGGGAGTGTCATGAACTCATCATTATCCATTTCCGAAGCCAATTAAGTACTTACCTAATTGATCTCAAATCAATTCAAGAAACCTATTTGACGATTAACTATCTGCAAAAGAGTCTTTTCTTACGTTGTTGACTTGAGCATTAAAAGAGGCAAACGGCTTTCACGATCTTCATGTCAAACATGATCGATCTATGATTCCCGTGAAGGAGGTTCGGCTGGAGGACGTACCGCGACACCGACCGCCGCCGCCGCTTCCACCGCCAAATCCGTCTCTCGTGGATGCATGTGGCCATCCGCCGTGCCGGCGTTGTGGTGGCGACGGGACCCACTTCACCCGTGATGAGTCGTCCTGTGTCTCGGCCACACATTCGTGACGGTGGCCCACCCACCGCCACAAGTTTTTTGTGGTCTTCTTTGTCCCGTTTCCCTTCCCTTCTCGGTCCGATTTCACCCGCCGATAACACCCAACCAACCACGTTCCGCCACGTCCATACCCACGGAGAGGTCGGGAGACGGCAAGCGCGGGGCCCAGAGATCTTGTTCTTTATGAACGCCGTTGCCTGCCTGGGAAGAGACAACCGACGCACCGCCACAGGTAATTGGTGGTCCTTGTCTCGTTTCCGGTCTCTCCTCCGTCCGATTCACCCGCTGGAGTCGATTGCGACCGTTCAATAGCACCACCATCGCTCATGCATATTTACGGGTGCCGCATCAACCAGGCGGGTCCCTCTGTTTTCTGACCATATAAGCCAGCGGAATTCGGCCACGTCATGGATTAGGTGCAAATGCTGTCTGGAGTCAGTCAGCTAAACTCGCGAAGGGTCGGGAGACGGCCATTTCCGAGTACGGAGGCCACGCCAGGCTCCACCGAGGGTTTCTTTCCCCACCCTCTTCTCTCTCCTCTCCTATCGCCATTGCTCGCCGTCTAAGCCGCGGTTTCTTCTTCTCGCGGGAGGGGAGGGGGCGGGAAGGGGACAGCGATTTGTCTGGTTGGGATCGAGGGGTGGCGACATTTAGGGTTGGGTTTCCGATCCTGGGTTTTGGGCAGCGTCTTACTGGGCTGGTAAGGTGGTGAGGCCAAGATGAGCGTGAATCCCATCCCAGCTTCAGTCACCCATGGGAACTTGGACGAGCAGATCGCTCAGCTCATGCAGTGCAAGCCGCTCTCCGAACAGGAGGTCCTCTCTTTCTCTTCTTTTCCTTCCTCTTTTATTCTACCCCTTTGATTCCTTCCTTATTTGGTCGGGATGAAATTTTTTCTCGTTTTCTTGTGGATTCTTGCGTTTATTTTGGCTGATTAGAGGATGACCGGGTGTTTCTTGATGTGAAGGCTGGGTCATGTTGAGCGACCTGGGAGGCTGATAGATGGGCTCTGTGGTTGGACGTGGGATGATTTCTTTGGGGAGTTTGGGGTTCTTTTTTTTTTTGGATTTGGTGGACATTAGCGCTGGATCTACTTTAAGTTTTTGTTTCTTTACCTTTTCTTTCCAGGAATTAGATGTGTTACATATGTTGGATCTGATTCGCTGGGTATAACGTGTTCATGGATGGTATGGAAGAGATTTGAGGTTCTTCAACCCATGGAAGTGTCAGCGTTGACCTACTTGTTACACTTATTAATGATGAACCTTATCCGAAATTGCACATTTACTTTGCCATAGATATATTGGTCTTATCTGTTCGTATATCAAATTTAACTTGTGGTTTCTAACTTCTAACTGTACCCATCGAAACCTTAATTTATGGTGCGTAAGTCCGAGATAATTTAGCTCATGCAATCTTGACTTACCTCAAATTTGATTTTCGTCTGACACAAAAAAAACTCGGGAGAAAATTTCGAGGTGTTAAGATGCCCTCGTACTTTTTTGTACCATCTTTTCTGAAGCATTGAAATTCCCCATCGGTTCTTGTGCTCCCCTTTGAATATGCTATAAATTAATCTGACATTATTTAATAAAAGATAATGTGTTTAATGATTGTGATTCAAAATATATCGAGCCTTGTAAAAACATAAGCATATCTCATCCGGTGGTTGCTCAATGTTCTGTGTCATGCCCTTATCATCTCAATTTTTGATGCTTGTAATAATCGTCATTAGAATTTATCATTTGAATGCTAATCATTTTGCAGCTTTTTACCTGATGCTAGCTTATTGTGCTGATGTCTTTATGTTTTAATCATGCAGGTGAGGATGCTATGTGAAAAGGCGAAGGAGGTATTAATGGAAGAAAGCAATGTTCAGGTAGGCATTATTGCTCCTAAGATGTTCTAATAATTGAGCGCAGCAGGCCTTGGCAAAGCATAAAGGCTGCTTTGGCTGGGTCCTGATGGAGAAATAACCTCTGCATGCATGGGTTGTATCTTCTCCTACCCAGACCTTATGATGGCAAGAGCTTCATACACTGCCTTTTTATCTTTCTCAGAACTTGTTGATTTTCATCTTTTTCGCTTTATGAGTGATACTTTGTTTAGATATGACTCGCTTTTGCAACAACTGTTGAGATTATATGAGATGGCATAAACAAGTCTCGTATATGTCATAACCATTGAGATTATATGGGATATTATACTTTTGTATTGGAGAGGAAACTTGATAAATGTTATTGATAGAAAAATTACCTCTTTCATGAAACAAAATTCAACGCGAATGTTTTGATCAAGGATTGACGTCTTGCATTGTTACCCATATTAGTCGTGAGTTGGTGCAGAATGATGTTTTGCTGTGTGGTGCAAGTGATGGACACATGCCAAGTCATGCATTAGAGCTCTTGCATTGCAAAAATTACACTTGTTATTGTGTGCATCGAAATGGCACATTACAATCTGTACCAATATTGGCACACACAATGCAATAGCAGAACGCACATCAGTACTCTATTCTATGGTTTGCTGATGCAAATGATGTAACATTTTGTTGCTTTTAAATGTACCTTTTAATCTTTCCCTTGTCTTTTAGATAAAGCTGCTTTTCAATTCTTTTCTCAGCTTTCATCTCAAATTGTCTAGCAAGTTTGATATTTTTTAAGGCTATTCTTGAAGTTAACCATAAGTACAGCACTACACAATTTCGAATTAAAATTACTATAAATATTGCATGTGATCTAGGTACTTCCATGATTGTTAATTCATTTTGGCTTCAATTTACTGGCATGTGAACCAAATTGCAGCAAATTAAAATGGAATGGAACTGTATTCGTCTTTCCATTTTAAATTTTGTTGAAAGTTGAAAGAACTCGACTTCTAAAGTTGCAGAACTCTAGACCAAACCCGTATACTACTGAACCAAAATATTTTTACACTGACTTTTCATCCTCATTCCACTTGCATTGATTTTCCTTCCTGAATCTAGCCATGGCCCATTGCGGTGCACCCTCTTCTCTCTCTCTCTCTCCCTCCCTGCACTCGATGCAGAGGGCAATATCATCTCTTTACCTCCTTTTTATTTTAAATAGTTAATAATTTTGATATTTACATCCTGCTAACAATTATTTGGTTGTCAAAGTTTTCAAAATTATGTGCGTCTTCTTCAGTTGCAATTTGATTTTAGCAATTGGTATACACTAATTTATGCCCCACAGGACAGTGATGGTCTGCTGGTGATATTTTCTAATATGTTATGATTAAGATCATTGTTTAATTTTTTTAAATATATTACTGCACTCTTTCCATTTTTTGGTACATTTAAGAGAAATCAACCCATGAATTTTATCGTGAAAAAAAAATTGCATTGATTAGAACTTGAAAACTGAATATTGGCACCTTAAACTTTCTACAACCGATTCTGATTTAGGATGGGAAAGTGGTTTCTTGAAGAATCAGTTACGCAAAGGCAAGCGGTTCTAATGATATGTAAATTATTTTTTAGTTTTATAATTATTTTTGGCATCTGGACGTGCACAAAAGATTGGTGTTGATGGGATGGCAATGATGCAATGGACGTGGGGTACTGGGAAATATAAAATAATAAATAGGTAATATGAGAAAGAAAAAGTGAGGTTGTATGGAAATTGAAAGTGAGACCTAATGATGCACTAGTTAAACTGGGTGACCGTTAAAGTAAGTGGTGCAAGAGAGGTAGAGGACAGAAGAGATGCTTTGATAGACTCCTGATAATTTTAGTTTGACCAGTGATGTTGATCTCAACAGAACCCTAAATAGTCGAGATCTTAGTTGTTGTTGTTGCTGATATTTTTCTTTTGTTCAAACAAGATTTTTCATTTCCCTCTGTGAACTGTTATTAGAAGCTTTGTTTGTTTTGTTGTTTTGGAACTAAATCTTGCTTTGCATTGCAGCCTGTAAAGAGCCCTGTGACAATCTGTGGTGACATTCATGGGCAATTTCATGATCTTGCAGAACTATTTCGAATTGGTGGAAAGGTACTCTTTTATATTCTTATATTCTGCAGAGTATGTTCTGATGTAATTTTCGGAAGTGATGAATTAAATTTGATAAAATAACTCTGATGATTATTTAATCTCCTAAATCGGTATGCCTTGTATATTTGATGATTGTTTTTATTCTTCAGTGTCCAGATACAAATTACTTGTTTATGGGTGATTATGTTGATCGTGGGTACTATTCTGTTGAGACTGTAACGGTAAGGAAAGTATCTTGTTCTCTTTTTATGCTCCTTTGAATTTATAAGTTCTTACAGTCATGATATTGTTGTATCAACCTCCAACAAGTGCACAATCCTAGTTAGTATACCATTGTTTTCTAAGAATAAACCCACTGATCCAGTGGCTGTTTTCTTGTTACGCTATGTTATAAGCTGTTCTCATATGCTTTATCAAGAAGAAGTTAAAAGTTATGCATGTCCTGCAATCATGCTTTATTTATGTGTATCTATATCTTCTTAAGGTGTCATGCCTAAATCTTATGGGTTCAAAAATACATGATAAGGCCATATTAGTTAAGATGCAATAGTTTCTCCCTCGTGACCTAGGTAACCATGGTTTTGAGTCCCGGAAACTACCTCTACTTGCAGGGTAGGACCGCATATAACGACTCTTCCTAAGCTCCACATTGGTGGGAGCCTTTTCCACTAGGCTTGCCTTTTCTAACACCTAAAGCAATGATTTAAATATTGCTGGCAGTCCCCCATGACAGTTGATCTCTGAATGGCAGATTTTGAAGAGTTAATTTCATGTTGACAAATAGCTTAACAAAGAAAAAGGAGGGGGAAACAATTTGATGCCATGAAAAATAAAAGGGGTAATACTACTGCACATCTTGTAGTTCTCTCTGACAACAACAGCTCCCGTTCTTCTGGTACCCTTCTGTCACGGACAAACTTCTAAACAAGGTGTTTGATGTAATGTTTATGTATGTCCGTGTCTTTTGGCATGTTCATGCCTTGTACAGCATGTAGAGGGGCGGCCGAACGCTCAATAGTCCCATTTTAGTTGGGTTGGTGGCCTCTTTAGGCTTGTAAATAAAGGTTGTGTCATGTGGACACGTGCGAGAGATTTTCGGTCTGTAATGGATCATTTTACCCTTTGTTGTGCCACTGTTCAGAGCTTGTAAAGTCTGTTTGTAATTTGCATTGTCTATGAAGTGTTTTTCGGAGATGTTTGCTTGTGGATCCCGATTGAGGCGTTCTCTCTAGCATGTTCTCTCTTTTGTTGGTCCTAAGGGACAATGGGAGGCTTCGGGGAGGCTGATCTTTGCGGACGGACACGCAAGGGTGCCGCACGACTTAGGCAAAACCAGCTAAGTCCGTGACAGATGGTATCAGAGCGGGACAAGCATTCATAGAAACACTTAGCATGCAAACGTGGGGGACCTAGTGGGGCTGCGTTGAGGGCAGTCAGCACACGCGCGACCGTTTGGGGGAAAACGGGCATGGAGATGTAGGGAAAAGGAGTCGCTCGGAGGAGCGGGCATCTGAGATTGGCATTCAGAGGAATGGCCAACCCTTCGCTCAAGAGGCACCACGAGAACAGACAAGCTTGGAAGAATGTGGAGCGCACAAAGGTTGGGATGGTTGAGTTTGAGCTACGGCTCAACGTTGACAACTATACTTGATGGTGCTCAA